GCGCGGAATGAACACGCGCTTTGCGCAGTTCAAGCTCGTCTTGCTAGGTATGTGTTCTTCCTTGCCGCCCGAGTAGTCTATCATAACAATAGCTAACGGTTACGATGATACACAGGCGAATCCGCTGTTGGAAAGGTATCTCATTGTCCGGATCGTCGTGGAAATTCCAACCGTTGGTGCTAACCCGTTGTCCAGAGCTCCATCGTGTTGCGTTTCGTCAAGGTAAGTCCCCGATGCCCAACTTGTCCCGGCTTCATCATCACACCAGGTCATTAACCTTGTGCCACTACAGGACCAGTTCGACTCCTACCGCGAATCGACCATCGGCGCCGCCTTCCTGACCCAGACCATTTCCCTCGACGAAAACACCACAGTCAAGTTTGAGATTTGGGATACGGCCGGACAGGAGCGATACAAGTCCCTTGCACCCATGTACTACCGCAACGCAAACTGCGCTGTGGTAGTTTACGACATTACCCAATCTGTAGGTTGAATGATAACCTATGGCATCCTTCACAAGAATGCTAACAGCAGCAAGGCATCCCTGGATAAGGCAAAGGCGTGGGTCAAGGAATTGCAGAGACAAGCCAACGAAAACATCATCATCGCCCTCGCCGGCAACAAGCTGGATTTGGTCACCGAGCAGCCCGATAAGAGAGCGGTGTCCACGGCCGACGCCGAGGCGTATGCGCGCGAGGCCGGACTCCTCTTCTTCGAGACATCAGCCAAGACGGCCGAGAACGTCAAGGACCTCTTCACTGCTATCGCCAAGAAGCTGCCGCTTGACCAGGCCGGCCCTAGGCACGCTCGGCCAGGCCAGCGACAGGGCGTTAGCCTTCAACCCGAGACTCCTGGCAGCAATGTCAGCGGGCCTTGCAGCTGCTAAGTGAGAAGAGACTCACATTCCAACATCATCATCATCATCACATATCGAAAGAGCCCAAGGAATACGGCGAAAGATTGGCATCACGTCCGAGGCGAGACAGGCTCCCGTTGGCAGACTGCGCGATGGCACCCATCAGTTCAGGCACCGCACCAATACAAGCACGTACACGACGGCGTTTGGGCTGGATGGGTTTGGGCTGAAGAAGAGCGTTGTCGCAAACCCCTACACCAAAGAATGGGTATGCTAGACCCAGCTTTTTAATATCAACAGTACGTTTTTTTGAGAGAAGGAGAGAAGGGGAGAGTTGCGTGTGTGTGTGATTTTACATTTCGAGTCTTCATTGAGCTGGTCATTCGGTTGCGGCAACTCGGGTGTAGGGACAGTCCTGGGATAAGACGGTGTACGGGAACGGATTCACTTTACTGGGGGAAGCATCCTGCAGCATTTTTCTGATGTACAGTATGCGATAGAGGCAACTGTTTCTCAAGGATGGGGCCGTATACAATTTCTTATCGTTTCATTCCTGGGCTTGGTGATGTACTACACATGGTCCCATTGACGTATTTACAAACAGCTCGTGGATGCCGATGAAGATTTCCAAATGCTGCCATCAAGGAAGTAAAGCTTGGTGACGTAGTTTCGTTTAGGCATTATTTTTTTTTCTTCCCCCAATAATTCGCCAGGTTATCGAGACTTTTGAGAGAAAATTCACGCAGAGCAGAAAGCTGTATCATTCCCGTTAAAACATGGATTATTTCAATTTGATGAAGACGGGAGAGGGTGAAAGCCGCGTGTCAATAATTGACAGGTGACGTGAGCTCTTTCTGAGGTACTTTACGTAGTAAGGTAAGGTACAGGCAGGCAGGTGGTCCTGGCTGAGATCCCGGTTCCTGCCGCTCGGCGCTCGCAGCGGACCAGCACGGCGCGGCTGGAAGCTCACCCAGTTTTAGCCGAACTTTTCCCTGAGCTTTTTTGTGCCTGGATTCCCGTCACCAAAAGGTACGGAACACCTCCCACTGCAACTCCCCCTCGACATCATTCACCCCCAATTACGCCCTGTCGGCCCATTGCATCCCCTCATGTTGCGAACGTCGATTCGATCCGTGAGGGTGCTCGGCCACAGGCCTGCGGCGGCCGTCGTTGGCCGCCAATGGCAGGCCGCTGCCGCCCGCCAGAGGAGGCATTTCGCAGACGACAAGAAGCCCGCTGTCGACCCTTCCAAACCCGCCGTCCTGCCGGCATCAGAGACCATCACCTCAGAGAAGAGCGCCGTCCCCGAAATTTCCGCCGTCGAGCCGACCATCCCCAAGCAAGAGGTTCCTCTTACGCCCCCGACTCCCGATCCCGCGGTCGTCGTTCCCAACCTCGAGGCTGCCGCTGCCGCTGCCGCTGCTCCTCCTCCGCCCGAGTCGCCCGCTGCTGCCGCGCCCAAGAAGAAGGGTTTCTTCCGCCGATTGAGAAACCTCGTCTTGACCCTCGCCATCCTCGGCGCCGTCGGCTTCGGAGGCGGTGTCTGGTACTCGCGCGTCAACGATAACTTCCACGACTTCTTCACCGAATATATTCCCTTTGGCGAGCAAGCCGTTCTCTACTTTGAGGAAGCGGACTTCCGCAAGCGATTCCCCAACCTCTCAAACAAGATCAAGGGAAGAGATACCGGAAGCCAGGTCAAGATTCCCGCCCAGAGCGGCGCGTCATGGAGAGTAGCCGATAACGGCGAGCCCGCTGGTCGTCAGTCGAGTGCTGTTGACAAGGCTGCTGCCAAGGTCGTCGCTGTCAAGGAGGAGGTGAGCAAGCCGGCCGAAAAGCCCAAGCCTGCGCCGGAGGCTCCCAAGGCCGCGCCTGAGCCTGCCAAGGAGACCAAGCCTGCTGCTGCTTCTGCGCCCAAGGAGGACTCGAACGGATTCAAGGCCCCCGAGGTCAACGAGCCTTCGCGATTCCCTCCCATTGCCCCGATCGACGCGCTGAAGATTGAGGATGCCACCGAGCCCGTCGTCCAGGACCTCGTTCGCATGCTCAACGACATCATCACCGTTATCAACGCTGACAAGGCCCACGGCCGCTACTCTCCGACCATTGCCAAGGCCAAGAGCGAGTTGAGCAAGGTCGGAGGCAAGATCAAGGCCATCAAGTCTTCGGTCGAGGAGAAGGCTGCTTCCGAGGTTGAGGCAAAGGTCGCCGACTTTGACAAGGCCGCCAACGACCTGATTGCCCGCGTCGAGTCCGCCATGGTCGCCCAGGAGATCCAGTGGAGAAAGGATTTCGAGGACGAGATGAAGAAGGTCAAGGATGCCTACAACGAGCGCGTCAAGCTTCTACTGGAGCGCGAGAAGCAGCTTAATGAGGAGCGTCTTAACAACCAGCTTCTGGAGCAGGCGCTCGCCCTGAAGAAGGAGTTTGTCGCCGAGGTACAGGGCCACGTCGAGGCAGAGCGCGAGGGCCGCCTCGGCAAGCTCAACAACCTGTCGGCGGCTGTCCAGGACCTCGAGAAGCTGACGACGGGCTGGAACGAGGTTGTCGACACCAACCTGCGCACTCAGCAGCTCCACGTCGCTGTGGACGCCGTCCGCGCCAGCCTGGAGAACGCGACGACGCCCAAGCCGTTTACGCGCGAACTCGTTGCGCTCAAGGAGATTGCGGCCGAAGACCCTGTCGTCAACGCGGCCATTGCCTCGATCAACCCGTCGGCCTACCAGCGCGGTCTCTCCAACGCGGCACAGCTTATCGACCGCTTCAGGATAGTCGCCAACGAGGTGCGCAAGGCGTCCCTCCTGCCCGAGGAGGCCGGCGTCGCCAGCCACGCGTCGAGCTACCTCCTCAGCAAGGTCATGTTCAAGAAGCAGGGCCTGGTCGGCGGCGACGATGTTGAGAGCATCCTCACCCGCACGCAGACGCTGTTGGAGGAGGGTAACCTGGATGCTGCGGCCCGTGAGATGAACGGTCTGCAGGGCTGGGCGAAGACGCTGAGCAGGGACTGGCTCGGTGAGGTGAGGAAGGTTCTTGAGGTCCAGCAGGCTCTTGATGTGAGTATACCCTCGTGAAATGCATGTGGGGAATGTTCGATAACTAATGTGTTTAATTCTAGGTCATTGCGACAGAAGCGCGCCTGCAGAGTCTCAAGGTAGAATAATGGACGGGAAATATTCTTTTTCTTTTGTTCTAGTATGACGGGGGGCTCTCACGGGGAGACTATTTAGAAGAGTGAGAGTGAGCAAGATAGCCTAGACCTCTGGTCTGTGTAAGACATAGCCCATAGACTTGAATGAAGGCAGTGTATTTTATCAAGTCTTTCTACTTGTGATATCCGTACTACCTCTGTATGCTACAGACCCAAAGCGCGGTTTGACATCTGCTTAGTTGATTCATTCGGGCCATTACCCAACCTGAAAGGAAGCTTATTGTAGAGACACATGGTTAACTAGTACCTAAGGTAAATGGTATAAAACACGAATTGAGTTTTGAGAGGCTCTCCGACGCGCTGTCACAAGCCGGTGCCACGAGAGCGGTCCGGACTACCTTATTAGGCGCAGACTTTTAAGGAAACGGGACGAGCGCCGAGCGCAGGGCCCCCGGACCACGCTCTCCCGGCTCGAGTCCCGAAGCGCCCACCCCCAGTGGAAGCCGCATATAATCAGAATGAACCCCCCACCGAAACCCGGTAGCAGACGCAGCAGCTTACCACACCCCGAAGTTCTACCTTCCCAAAGTACCTTAAGCAGAGTTCAAGGGAGAGCTCTGGTAACCCCTCCATCTCAAGCCCCGCTGCAAAGGACCTCCCGCCCAAAAAAAAAGAGAGGGAGCATTCCCAACGTCCTTGATGCATCATGCATCCCGCCACGTAATACGCCTCACGCGCAGCGCCAGCAGCAGAAGTTTCCTACGTTCTACATTCTTGGGACGACGAATGATGGCTACCGCCGGGAGGACGTACAATGTAAGTCTTCCCCCAAGATGTCCCCCTTCCCGCTGTGAAGCTTCAGAGCGTTGTCTCCGAGGTCGGAGATCGCGACATCTTTGCCGCTTCAAGCTTGGCTTTACAGAGCCACGCAATTGAGGACCGCAAGACGAGGAGAGGAGAGGACAAAAGCACACTGCAGAACCAAACTTTACTAACTCAGTCTAACCCCAGGACGCCGTCGACGCGCTCAACACCCTCCAAACCCCCTTCGCGGTAATCGAAGCCCGCCGCAAGGCAGGCATCCGCCCCGACGAAGCCTCCGTCGCCGAAATGCGAGCGTACCTCGCGCGCGTGGGCTACTCCGTCTCCGACCTCGACAGCCTCAACGTGATTCACGTCGCGGGGACAAAGGGGAAAGGAAGCACCTGCGCCTTTACCGACTCCATCCTCGCACGGCACCGCGCCGCTTCGCCAAGGTCGATACCGCGCAAGGTTGGGCTGTTGATCTCGCCGCATTTGATTGCGGTTAGGGAGCGGATACGGATTAACGGCGTGCCGATATCCGAGGCGCTGTTTGCGCGGTATTTCTTCGAGGTGTGGGATCGGTTGGGGGAGGAGAATAAGGTGCTGGAAGAGGTTGTTGCGGTGGGGACGAGGCCGATATATTCGCGGTATTTGACGCTGGTTAGTTTCCATGCTTTCCTGAGCGAGGGGTGCGATGTTGCTATTTTGGAGACGGGGATCGGAGGGGAGTATGATGCTACGAATCTTGTGGGACGGCCTGTCGCGACGGGGATTACGACGTTGGGGATCGATCACGTTTTTGCGCTGGGGGATACGGTGGAGAAGATTGCGTGGCATAAGGGCGGGATTATGAAGGCTGGGAGTAAGGGGTTTACGGTTGAGCAGGTTGCTGGGGCGGCGGGGGTGTTGGAGGAGCGGGCGAGGGAGAAGGGGGTCGAGATGGAGGTTGTTGGTGTTGATCCGCGGCTTGAGGGCGTCAAGATCCGTCCGGATGCAGTTTTCCAGAAAAGGAATGCGAGTTTGGCGGTGCGGCTTGCGGAGACTGCGCTGGAGAGGGTCGATCCCGAGTTCAGGAGGGACCCGGAGAGGTTGTCGGCGCCGTTTGTGGAGGGGTTGGAGGGGGTTGTTTGGAGGGGGCGGTGTGAGGTGAAGGAGGAGGGCGCTGTTGCGTGGTACGTTGACGGGGCGCATACGACGGATAGTCTGAGGATGGCGGCGCGGTGGTATGTGGATGAGAGTGCGAGCAGGGGGAAGAAGGGGCCGAGGGCGTTGGTGTTTAATCAGCAGGGTCGGACGGAGGCGATTGACTTTTTGGATGGCATGTATGAGGCTATCAAGAGGGTGGATGGGAGGGCGTTTGAGAGCGTGGTGTTTTGTACGAACGTTACGTATGCCCAGACTGGGTATAAGCGAGGTGAGCCCCCTTTTTCTTCTCAAATATCTTTGGGATGGTCGGCATGTTTGGATGAGAGAAGAAGATGCTGACTTGACGATGATCAGACTTCGTCAACCACCAGTACGACGCCAAAGCCATCGAGGCCATGACGGTGCAGAGGCAGTTTGCGGAGCGCTGGTCCAAGCTGGATCCCCACGCCGACGTGCGCGTGATACCGACCATCGAGGAGGCCTTGAACCACGTCCGGAGCGTTGGCGAGGGCCTGCCGGAGGGCGAGAGTGTACAAGCTCTTGTCACGGGCAGTCTGCATCTTGTTGGTGGCGCGCTGGGCATCCTGGAGGGCGCGGATGCTTTGTAGATGTTTCCAGGGTGTGGAGTATTCATGTTGCTTTTGCGTTTGACTCCAAGAGGTTGGGGTCTTATGGGATACAATGGGGTTTAACAACGGCTTTACATAGGGGCACGAACAGACATGTCCTCACGGATTCAACTCTAGATTTATATGTTCTATATTCTTTAGTCTTCTATTCTGGGTGGATTACAATAGATTTTCCGGCTCCAAGAAGCCGATGACGTTTCCAACGAGATACATGCTCCCCGTAACCAGCACGTTTGTCCCCGACGATGGCTCCGCGACGCCATCGACGGCGCTCTTCATCTCCGTCAGGTCCCTGCACACCATGACCTTTGTAGCAGGATACAGTTCCCTAAACGCCGCAGCACACGCCTCCTGAACACTGAGATCTACCTCCCCGCCCTCGCCGGCGATGTTAGTCTTGTCGTTCCTCGTGAAGATGGCCGCGGCCAGCCGCGTCTCGGGGTCGACACCCAGGGTCTTCATCTGGCGGAGGAACTCTGTCAGGAGGGCGGAGGCGTCGCGTTCTTGCTGGTTGAAGACGAGGACGAAACTTTCTCCGTCGTTGTGAGTGGTGTCTGAGGAGGTTGTGGCGGTGACGATGGGTGATATCCAGCGCGCTACTTCAGCCAGACTATCCGCGTTGTGCGCGCCGTCGAGGTACCACGATACACCACCCTGTCTGAGAAGTTCGTGCCGGCCGCGGAGCGTCGCCTCGCGGAGACCGGCGATGATGACTCCAGGGACATCCGCCAGCGAACGATTCGCCTTTCCTACCGTGCTTGACCCCGCTTCTCGGGCTTGAAGGACCTGAATATGCCGCCTCGCAGCCAGCGCAGCGAGAGCCTGGTTCCTCTTTTGAAAGTCCCCGCCTGGTAACTTTGCATCCTTGACACCGCTCCACGCAATGACATCCTCGTCGTCGACCTCGATTAGCTCCGCGCCTACTTCGCGCGCGCGGGAGCGGAGGGTGGTCATCACGCCCGGGTGCACCTCATCGGATAACCTGCGCGTGAAGGTCGCGACGCCGGGTTTCATCACACCCGCTTTATGCCACGCAATCTGCGATGGTGTGGACCCCAACATCGCAACATGATCGATGCCCAGCTGCGTGATGACCGAAGTCGTCACCGCCTCGGCGGGTATGGCGTTCGTGGCGTCGTATTCGCCGCCGATGCCGCATTCCAACACCACGGTGCGGACGCGGAGTTTGAGGAAGACGTGCAGGGCGAGGAGGGTGAGGAAGCGGAAGTAGAAGGGTTTGGAGCCCGGTTCGATGCCGAGGTCGGGCCCGGTGCTGCTGGCGCTGCCGCCGGGTGCGGAGGGGGAGGTGCAGGAGGAGAGGGTGTCCCAGAGTTCGAAGAAGGATGTTGCGAAGAGGGTTTGGGAGATGGGGGTGTTTGAGATTGCGATGCGCTCGCGGGGGGTGAGGAGGTGGGGGGAGGTGTAGGTTCCTATGGGGCCTATGTGTGTCGTGGAAGGGGGCGAGGAGGATGAGGATGAGTGGTTGAGGAGGGCCGAGGTCGTGAGGGCTGTTACGGAGCCTTTTCCTTTTGTGCCTGCTATGTGGATGAAGGAGAGGGAGGAGAGGCGTTCGGGGGTGAGGTTTGCGCGGAGGAGCCAGGCGCGCATTTCGGGGATGGCGAGGAGGTTTGGGTCTGCTGTTGGTGTTGCTGGTGCTGCGGTGGTGGGAGCGGCATCTTTTGGTTTGTTGAAGAGGGCGTGGACTTTGAGGTTTGGGATGAGGGTGTTTAGGAGGTTGATTGCGTCGGTGTAAGTCCGTGATGATGGCGGTGTTGCGGGGGGAGACATTGTGGTGATGAGTCTTGATGAGGAGGGATTATTGAAGGGGTGGTTTGTGAGGCGCAATGAGGCTGAGATTTGGGTTGGGCGGAAGAAGAGCCTCATGAGTGTGAGATGCTGGAGAGGGAGGTGGATGGTAGGGGTATGTGATCACGACGTTGAAAGAAGCATTGTTTGTGAGTTTGGTGGTTGGTGGTTGAGGCTGAAATTAGGTTGGTGGTTTGTGAGTGGTGAAGCTTTTTTGAGTGAGTTCCCACTTGAGATGAGAGTGAGCTATTCGAGGGAGGTTTGGAACTCCACTCGAGGTCTGTCAGTCACTCATGTTTGTATCACCTTTACTGGTTGAAGTAGTACTTTGTACAGCATCTATGTGTGATGCATTCGAAAATGTATTCTGCTTTAGTAGCTTGAGCATACCAAGCATCGGTGGCTGGGATTGACGCTCTATCTAATTGCTCCGAGAAGACGGGCTGTGTACCGCAGCAGAAACTTGGTAACTGTTTCGTAGCTTGGCGGGTAGATATTCTAGTATGATTCTCATGGTGATTTACAATATACATAGTCAACCTTACAAACATACCACTATATTGCCATGAGAGAAATGTGTTACAGTCTAACTTGGTAACAAATAGAGAAGCAGCCAATAGACAAGACCACTAGACACAAATGTGAACCCCCGATCGCAGACACCCAGTGATGATGACAAGCATTCCGACAACCAAGGATAAGCCTTCCATCGCGGGGGGAACAGCCGAGGTGGGGGCAAGGGAGGACCCTGGCACTTGTTCAAACTTCTGGCTCAGTCCCTCATTCCCGTCGCAAAGGTGTTACTGTCTGCGATCTCGGCGTCCAAGTCGCAGGGTCGCAGGATCGTAATTGTCGCCGTTGCAGATGTATCAAAGATGGTCAAGGATGGAGACTATAATCCATGAGCGGTTGTGAGTTAATGCTAAAGACTGATTACCAAGCCTTAACTGGAATCTAGCAGTCTCGCGGATGACGGCACGGTCCAGGTGGGATAAGTCAACAGATGGATTCAATGAGCAGCTTAGCAGTCTTTAGCTTCCGAGTCAGGTAGTTCGGCTTCGGCTTTGGGTGGTGGATAATAAGAACACCAACTCGTTTGGGGACTCGACATTAACATAAACCAATCGGCAGGACGAAGTGCTCCGAGAAGACCTTATGAGTCTATACGGATAGAGACTTCGGATAAAAAGGACTAGACATGAAGTGTGAACTAAACACTCTCACCGGCTCTCGCGCCGAGCTTGTGCTGGTTAAATCCGATGTCGCATTAGCCCCAGCAAGAGTTCTCTACCTATCCGTATCCATGCTTTTAGTGTAGTCATTGAGTCAATCAACTTTTGCCGATTCGGCAACGCGGCAACAGTCGACATTTCTGTCTCTCGGCTCTCGTCGCTCTCGCGTCTTTCCACCCCCATACTACCTTAGTAGGTAGGGTACACTATTACACACGATTTTCACTTACCCCAGTCTTGGATGCTTTAGATCTCACACCCCTTGCTCTTAGCTGCTTCGAGACCAGTCCCTTTACGTCCACTTTTCCCTCGCCATGGGACCAGGGGAGCGTACAGGTTGGAGCGCATGTGGAGGTGCTTGTCATCGACTTTGGATTCGTAATGGAAATTTGTTGCGCCTTTGGCTCGTCACTTTTCTTTCGTTTCGTTTCGGTGACTTTTGACTCTTCCTCTTGACAACCATGACGGAGCGACTGCTGCTACGGGTTTCTTCTCACTAGTTGTAGCTGAACATTGTCACTCACTGAGCAATACCTAGTCTCGGCACGTTGTATCTCTCATCGCCTCACCGTATCTCTCTCTCTTTGCGCGAAGCTGGTGATCTCATTTCAATTCTCACGTTGAAAGGTCCAACTCAGCTAGCTACCTTTAGACTCACCACTTCCTCCTATGAATCATCAGTCTCTCGCTCAGCATCCCGAAAACAGACTGAGCTCTTGAGACAAGCACACAATCTTCACACGACATTCCTATACCGCCAGGACCTTCCAGCACAGCAAAGCACAGATGACAGCAAAAGACTTCCACGAAGTCCACGACGACGAAAAGGTCGGCGACATTGAGCGCGCCGCCGGCTCCCAAACCGAAGATGGATCGCCCACGACCACCAGCAGCGACTCGGTAACCATCCGCAGCAACCCCGACGCGACGAACATCAAGGCGGAAGAGCAAGAACTCTCCCACGACGCCACTGCCGCAACAGCGACAACAGGCCATGTGACGGGCCCCAGCGACACCAAAGAGGCCGCGCCCGAAACACAAGCCACGGCAGCGGCGCAAGGGCCACCAGCGGCTGCGGCGGCCGGCGCCGAAGACACGCCCGAGGCCGGCCGCACGAAGCTCGAGACAACGCTCATCGTGCTCTCGCTGTGCGCGGCGCTGTTCCTGGCGGCGCTGGACGTTACGATTATCACGACCGCCGTGCCGACCATTGCGGAGGAGTTTAATAGCAATATCGGATACATCTGGATCGGCTCGGCGTACCTTCTCAGCAATGCGGCTTTCGTGCCGACGTGGGGCAAGATTTCTGATATCTGGGGCCGGAAGCCCATTCTTCTGTGCGCGGTTGGTGTGTTTTGGGTTGGGTCGTTGATTTGTGGGTTGTCTACGAGCATGGGGTAAGTCTTTGAGAACTTCAGACTGGAAGATGGCGTATAGATGTTGCTAACATGATACAGCATGCTCATCGGCGCCCGCGCGATCCAGGGCATAGGCGGCGGCGGCATCATCGTCCTCGTCAACATCTGCGTCAGCGACCTCTTCTCGATGCGCCAGCGCGGCGTCTACTTTGGCGTCATGGGCATGGTCTGGGCCGTCTCGAGCGCCATCGGCCCCGTCCTCGGCGGCGTCTTCACGAGCAAGGCCACTTGGCGGTGGTGCTTCTACGTCAACCTGCCCATCTCGGGCATCGGCTTCATCGTGCTCTTCTTCGTCCTCAAGCTGCACAACCCGCGGACGCCCGTCGCGCAGGGCCTGAAGGCGATCGACTGGGTCGGCACGCTGACCATCATCGGCGGCACGCTCATGTTCCTGTTCGGACTCGAGTTTGGCGGCGTTCAGTACCCGTGGAGCTCGCCTACTGTAATCTGTCTGATCGTGTTTGGCATCGTCACGATTGGCGTCTTCGCGGTCAACGAGTGGAAGTATGCGCGGTACCCCGTCATCCCGATGCACCTCTTCCGCAGCTGGTCCAACATGGCCGCCTTCGCGACGGCCTTCTGCCACGCCTTCGCCTTCATCTCGGGCAGCTACTGGCTGCCACTCTACTTCCAGGGCGTGCAGGGCGTCTCCTCCCTCCTCTCGGGCGTCTACCTGCTCCCCTACGTCCTCTCGCTGTCCCTCATGTCCGCCGTCGCGGGCGTGCTGATTCGCAAGACGGGCAACTACGTCTACCTCATCGTCGGCGGCATGCTCATCACGACGGTCGGGTTCGGGTTGTTCCACGACCTACCGCTCGACCGGAACTTTGCAAAGATTATCCTGTACCAGATCGTCGCGGGGCTCGGTATCGGGCCCAACTTCCAGAGCCCGCTGATTGCGGTGCAGACGTCGGTGGAGCCGCGCGATATCGCGGCCGCGACGTCGGCTTTTGGGTTCATCAGGCAGATGGGCACGTCGATTTCTGTGGTTATTGGTGGTGTGGTGTTTAATAATGAGATGCAGAGGCAGTATCCGCGGCTGAGGGAGGAACTTGGCCCCGAGCTGGCGAATATGCTCTCTGGTTCGAGCGCCGCGTCCAGCGTGGGCGTGGTGGCGGATTTGCAGGGGGAGCAGGGGCAGATTGCGCGCGGGGCGTATCTGAGTTCTCTGAGGACGATGTATATCGTCTATGTTGCGTTTGCCGGGCTCGGGCTTGTTCTGAGTCTGTTTGTGAGACAGGTGCAGTTGAGTAAGAAGCATACGGAGCATAAGACGGGGTTGAAGACGCTTCGGAGCCGGACTGGGAAGTGAGGCTCTACCTCTCATATGGAGGCGCGCCTTGAGGGGGAAGAAAGAGGGTTAGGGGTAGGGAAGAAGGCGACGAAGGTGTGAGGGTTTGCTAGACTTCAACAGCATGGCGTTTTGGATAGGAGCATCTTGTTTGGTTGGCAGCGAGCATCAACTGGATACCAAAAAATAGGATGCATTCTTTCTCTCTCTGATGTTCATGAACCCCTGGAATTCACTCACGACTCGATCCATCTTTTGTGCTCATGTGAAATCGATGACTTATGGTCCATCGTATCATACATTGCTGCGATTTGGTGCTTCGCACGAGACATACCTGGATACCCCGATGTGCTGACAGCTTCACATGGCACGGTCGAGTTTGTAGGACCCAAATTGTGAACAAATCTTGTTGTCTATCAACATCTAGTCTATCACTGCGCCGAGAAGCTACCTCATCTATTCTATACACGTCTTATCATGAGTTTACCGTTTGCGCCTCGGCAGCTTTCTCCTCGTTCCCTGAGCCGCCCTTCCGATGCCGCCACTCCCTCGCCAAAAACGTTAACGCAACACACAATCCAAGCCCAGCGAGCCCGACACCCATGTATAACGCGCCCCGGAACCCCCTGAACTGCTCCTCCTTGGTCCCCGCGCCCTTGCTGACGTGCACCTCCACCGTGCCCGCGAACCCGACGCCGAGCGCGATGCCGTAGTTGACCACCGTGTTGACCAGACTCGCCCCGATGCCCTGGTGCTCCTTCTTGACGGCATTCGACAGGATCAGCGTCGCGGCGGGGAAGCTCATGTCCATGCCAAAGGGCATGATGATCATGGAGACGAAGATCTGCGCCCAGTAGATCTGGTTCTCGGGCGCCGTGGCCGTGAGGATAACGCCGACGGTGAAGGCGACGAGCGCCATCGTCATGACGACGGGCGGGCGCACCTTGAGCGGGCCGAGGAGCTTGCCTGTGATGACGGCCGCGAGACCGCCCGTGACCACGACGGGCGAGAACCACGCGCACGTGAGCAGTGGCGAGAGGGTGCGGATCTCCTGGAGGATCTGGACGAGGTAGAGCGTCCAGATGCCGAAGGTCGCCCAGCCGCAGACGACGGCCGCGAGGACGAAGGCAACGTCGGCATTGACGGCGTCAAAGGGCAGAAGAGGCTTCTCAGCGTACTTGAACTCGATGGCGGTGAAAACGCCGAAAAGAACGAGGCCGAGGATGAGCGGGACGAGGACCGTGGGCGTCTTCCAGCCGTCGATGGGCGCCTGGTTCCAGGCAAAGTTGAAGAGGATGAGCGCCACGATGCCCGTGACCGCGCCGGGGATGTCGAGCTCGACAAACATGTCGCTGAGGGTCCTCGGAGGGCGGTCGACCTTTGCGTGCGGCTCAGGAATGATGAAGTAGCCCGCGACGGCCAGGATCGCGAGCCAGATGGAGAGGGCCCAGAGTGCCCAAGGCCACCACTCGAGCTCGAGCGTGCAGGCGATGGCGGCTCCGACGACGCCGCCCATGGGCGCGACGGCGCCGAAGAAAGAGAAAACCATGGCCTTGCGGTGGCCCGGCGGGTAGGCGGCGCCGAATAAGGCCAGGGCATTGGGGAGGCAGATGGCCGGGCCGATGCCCTGGAGGACGCGTGAGAAGACGGCGAGTGTGAAGTTTGAGTAGACGCTGAGGCCGGCGATGAGGGACCAGAGGGAGAACCAGGCGAAGCCGATGATGAGCATGCGCTTGTAGCCAAAGGCGTCGCCGAGGCGGCCCGAGAAGAGGATGAAAGTGCCGACGGTGAGGGAGTAGCCGGCGACGAGCCAGGCTAGGCGGGCTGGGTTGTCTACGTGAAAGGAGCCGCCGATAACGTGGAGGAGGACGAGGGTTTCCATGTAGGCGGCCTCTGTTCAAGAGGTTAGTCTATAATTTTCATGTTTTCTCATGCTTAGGGATAATGTGATGCTGTGAGATGGAGTTTGGGGATAGAGGGCAGCAACTTACGAGTGCAGAATTGTGCCATGCAGCAAATAATTACGAACATGGCTTCACGGGGGAACGACATGCCGTCGACAGCCCATACTGAAGAGGCATTGGATTGTTGCGGCGCGAGGTTGTCGCCATTGTCGTCGCTTGAATCGTCTCTACTCGATCGGCCTAAGCTTGAGTCGTCGGGGATGTGCTTGTCGTCCCGGAGCATGTTGACGTCCGGTGTCGCAGCGGCGGTCCTGTCGCCTGATGTTGAGTCGAGGCTCTTGCGAACATACTGCTGCTGCTTCTCAGATGCCGACGGAGAAGCCATCGTGAACTGGAGTGCGGTGTTCCTTCAACCTCGGAATGTTGCTGACCCTGACCTTCAAAGAACAGGAAAGACCCCAGGCAGGACCATCAACGATGGGCGATACTCGAGTTGAAGTAATGGAAAACGATCTACCCGTCAGGTTGACGCCAACGCGCGAGGGCGGGAACGCCCCTCCGAGCCGGGGAGGACCCATTTACAATTTGGAAAATTCGCCATTCCCGGACTAGGCGTACATACGAAGTACGGAACTAAGAAATTGAATCAAAGATCCCCGAATCAGCCAGCCAGGCCAGCGGGACAAGGGGACGGCCTAAAGACCTACCTTAGAGGCTTAGAGCCGTCTCTGTCTCGGACTTACACGTGGGATTGGCGAGTTCTAGCAGAGGGTCCGGCCCAGGGTAGGGTGTACTGGATATGGGTCCTTTTGGATCATGGATGGATCTTTTCTTTTCGTCCCTTGAGAATTGCTTCCGTGTGGTGGTTGCTGACTGGGTTCTTTGGGCTCACCAAGACGGTATTAGACCACATCCCAGTTGAGCACCACACATCCTTGGCCCCATCATGCGGCACGCGAGTCGGCATTCCAGCAATTGACAGGAGTTTTGCGTGGTCGATCGAACCAGTCAGTGCTCAGTGCGTCGCTGCGTCGATGACCGCCTGTTGACTGTTCTATGGGACTCCTTGAGAGGATATTTTTACCCTTTTCGGGAGGAAGCTCCAGCGGGAACAGACTCAAAATCTAATCTGATCTCCAACGGGACGGGACCATGACGTCTCTTTCGGTGTATCCGTACGGACTTAACGTGTTGAAGATATGTCAGCGACTTCAATATGATGGATGACTGAGAACCTTTCTGTCAAGTCAACCTGCAAGACCAGTCAGACGGTCAGACAACCTTCTCGAAGCCGCATCAAAGATGAACAGCAAGACACGTTAACAACACAGCCGGTTCCCGCCCATCGGCAAATCCGCCCCCGGGCCCGCGGGATACGCAGAGCTCTGGGACTCTCGTATACCTACACTACAGCCCCCAACCTTCTCTCCCAATTCAGCTTCTGATCACGAGCCCTTTGTCGAGAGCTAGGAAAGCTGGACTGCGGGCGGCGGCGCAGGCCAGCGAGCGGGACAAACCTTTGCTTAACCCCTTTCGGAACACTCTTCGGAACAGGCTCAACTCCAACAGTGCTTAACCTGCCATAGGTGTCAAGGGTGCGTCGGTGCTTAGCAGAACGCAGGGCTGAGAGGGCACGGAAGGTTCCAAAGAGGCGGGCAAGAGGCATTCAAAGTGTCGGGCTGGGCTGGTCTAGTGCCAAAGGCGCAAGAGCTTAGCAAGGCGCGTGGCGCACTGGCGTACATATTCCCCCGCGCGCTCGGGATGGACGCCGCCCATCCCACCCTCAAGTTTGGACGCTTTCGATGCCTACCAGTGCCAACTCGCTGGGAGCTTGGGCCCGAGTCGAGCCTAGTCTGGCTTGCTGTCTGACAGACCAAGTTGACAAGTCCGCGGGTTCCAGCCACTTTTGGCGTTCTGGAATGGCCGTATTCGGCAGTGCGTTGGAAGTTGAGATGGCGGTGATTTGTAAAGCTGCGCTGGTGATGATGCGCTGGAGCCTGGGAGGATATTGGGGGCCGGGTTGACATTCATCCAAGGAATGTCTGAAAGATGGTTTATCTCCCCGGGGGAGACTTGGACTGCTGGTCGTTCAGATGAACCCCTGCCATTCTGTTGTCCATTGACCAAAGTCCTCGCCAAACCTTCGGGCGTTATTTGCTCATGATGGCTCTGCTGCCAAGACCATCGAACAAATCGCTCAGCAGCGTTTGAGATCACGAAATCCATGATAACTACGACGAAATACCATTCATCGTGAAGAATCGGGGAAAATTCCCAGTCGTGTACGAGTCAATCACGTCTAACGCCGAAGAGATCAAGGGAGAGCGTGAAAAGGATATTCCCGTATATCCGTATTTCCGACAGCTACCCCTCCGTTATTCCGCTTCTCAGCAGACAGTTGTGGGGCCGGACTACTTCCGGTGGAGGAGGGGGCTAGGTTCGAGAGAACCAACAAAAGTCAGAAAACCGTACTCTTGAATTACACACGTCAGAGCCGCGCGCGTGTCCTGATATCTTGCTGTCACCGGCCGTTGTTGCAACGTTCGGAACTCGCGTATCTCATTCCGAATCTGATCTGCCAAAATATCTCTAAAATGACATCCACGCCGGTAGTCCACGGCGCGGCGCCGCCGAAAACCTATCGGAGATCGAGTAGTATGGGTCCGCGGCGGGCCGGATGAGAGAGGTAGCTCGCTATGCATCAACGCCAGAAGGTAGAAGTCTCTATCAAGAAGCCTTGCCACGGGAAATTGTCAAGCAAAGGAAATCCAGAACTGCCGTTCGTTCATCACGCGGCATATACTCCACGGTCCCGATCCAACGGTTCCTCCCCCTCCATCACGTTCTTCCCACATGTGCTGAAGCAGCCTCGACGTCTGACGAATGTTGCCCAGTCCAATGACAGAGAACGTGTGCTCGAGTCGCTCGCGGAGGAAACTCCGCTGCTCCTGGTCTACCACGCATGACCCGACCACAGCGATGGGCCAGCATAGGCTTGTGTTGATCTGGACGCTCGGAGGCAGCTGTGCCAGATTCGCAAGGGCTTCGGAAAGGGCCGCTTGGGTCATTTTTACTGATAAATTATCCTCATGTTCATTATTCTCATTATGAAGGTCGTTGTCGTCGTCTCGTGGAAGAGGATAGAGCGCTGTATACAAGTACAACAGGATTGCTTTTTGATATATGTAGCCGACAAGGACGACAACATCAGAACTGGCTGCTAGATTCGGTGTCCAGTCCTGAATCTGCCTCTGGAGCTGAGCAAAGACGAAGAAGTCGTTGGCCGACGGTCGCCAATCCGTGTCTTCTGCATGAGACGACAGTTGGCGAGCGAGTTCGAAAATGGGTGGTATCAGGAGCAGTAGGTCGAGCCAGCAGCCACACATACTTCCGATATAGGATGTCGCTACTAGATCCCTCGCCAGCGGTATCAGGTCGCCAATGAGAAACAGCTGGTCGCTTATGCGAGCGTCGATAGAAATCATGCTCAGCGTTGCCGTGTAGACGTAATATTCGGTCAAGAAATCCTTGAGGCCTTTGGGTAGTTGGCTGTCGAGGGTCAACGAAGGAAGAAGGAGCGGCTGGGCTGCCATGAGGTGATCAAATACGGCGCCACTGATGTCTCCTTTCGCTGTCTATGACTCCCATGGGGCTGTGAGCATCTAGTCTGGAAAGCTGCGTTTCGTTGTGGCACCCAGAGCAGAGGAATAGGGGCAACGACGTCGATGCTCTGCTTATGGAGGAATGAGAAGAGAGAAAGAGATCAAATAGACTGACCTCGATAAAGCATAGGATCAGGGCACCAATGCCCATCGTCAGCTTTTGCTCGAGCGGCTGCCCGCCAATAAAGCTAGAGAGACTTCGCTGGAATAGACGAATCGACCGGCCGTAGTATTGATCCGCGACCCGGTCTCTGCTGCACACAGACTTGGACGCTCTGTGAACGGCACTCTGCGTCAGGAGCAACTGCAGCACGAGGTCGCTGCCAAACGCCAGCGGGATCAACTGTACGCAGAAAGGGTTATCCGGCGTCGACCCGTTGGCCATGCTGACTGTTGTCACGCCTAGGTAGTGGCTCAACAGGTCCATCGAGCTGCTGTCAGTGATTCCGGGCATGAAAGACAGTTGCCTCGGAACCTGACCCTCGGGGATCGGTAGTGTTCTTAGTGGTGTGAGCAGGCTGTCGTCCAGAAGCTCGCCATCATGACACACGTCTGAGGCGGTTGGGAAACATAGAGAACCTAGTGCCGCAGCGAAATCAACAGGGCTCTCGTGGGCGGCAAGAGGCTCGAGGATGTCGTCCTGTTGAAACCCGTTAGTAGCATGTGACGTTGGCTGGGAACTTGATATCGACGGCAGCTCCTCGGACGGGAACGCTGATTGTGGCACTGAGGCAACAGCCATGTTCGCTTCGGGTGATTTGGAGGACCGAGCAGCAGCAGCAGCAGTGCCGGGTCTTTGCCGCGCGGCACCGGACGAAGAGGCTGCCCGATCCGGGGCCGGATGACTGCTACGGGCCGTCGCTGGGGCCGGCCATTGACAATCGAACCCGTTGCGTTGGCAGCCACGACAGCACGGCTTCGTCTCGTCGCACTTTTTCTTTCGGCCTCGGCACGTTAAGCACCCAGTTCGCACGCGAAAGATGGGTCCAGCGCGGGTAGTTCGTGGTCTCGGTGGCATGATGATTCTTATCTGGTCAAACGTCTAGCCCTTCTCCTATTAGTGTGCTCGTGCACGTGTGATAATACGATGGTGAGATCGAGAGGTCGTAGAAGAGGCCAAGACTGTGATCTCTGGCGTTCTGGGTGCTCTGAGACGTGAGTGAGAGTGAAGCCGCTCAACCATTCTGGTCTGGGTCCAAGATTGGATGATACGAAGGAGAGCAGAAAGCGTGCGGGGGTCCGCCGAAGCTCAATGGCTTTGCCGTCTCGAGTGCGCGATCCGCCGGAGCCGCGGGGCTGATTCCGGACCCGCGCCAGCGCGGTAAAGCACGGGATTGGGCCGCACGCGGAGTCTCCGGCCAGCAATCTCTCGATGCGACCTAATTCCGTGACGACATGGAGGTCATGTGCCATCTTTGATTCCCTAGGTGAGGTGAACAGAGGTGCCATGCTGGCACATCTCTACAACAAATTGCCTATGCAGAAGGGTCGTTCAGGTAAAAGCGGGTTTAAGGATGTTGCAAAAACGATCGTGTGAAAGCTGGTCACAATGACAGACCTGGACGTTTTCACGGGATTGAAGTCTCGATCAAGTAGTGTGCTCATCAATCGAATAGATCAGTCATACTGTCGAGAGTATTGAGAGCCGTGCGAATAGTTCCGAGACGCTTGCTCGTGTCATGAGACCGTCCATTATTCGAACTTCCCGGAGAACAATCATCGAAGCGCCGTAGCGCTCCGGAGTCGTGTGGGTCAGTCGGTCCGCGTTCACCGCGCTTGCCGCAGCTTTCTAAAAGTATTATAGTTACGTCGTGAAAGTGATCTCGTCATGATAGGACGTTTTAGTTTATTATGAATAGCTAGCTACAATGTTTATAGCCCAGGTTAGGGTCCGTTAAGTTACCTATCACAATATACTAATACGATATTAGGTTAAAGTAGTATTCCATCGAGTGCTGCAGGGCAACACTACATTGATCTCTAGGTTTTCTCTAATTCTATCTTGAAATGAGTTGTCTATTCGCGAAGATGCTAGGAATAAATCAAAAACACCGTTTGATTTGCTATTCCCCCGCAATTTTATACATTGTCGCCTTGCAGCACTCGATGGAATAATCGGTAAATCTTGAGTTTCTTCCTGGGACACAGACGAAATGCTCATACAGAAGGCTGTAGACGCATTGTTACATTTTTGACTTGCGTTTAATGGTGTTTTTATTGATACAATATTAGTGTTGTATACCTTGTCTTGTATTTAATATGGTGTAAGATTGTAGAATAAGATATTCCAGCAGGTGTCACTATGCTAATATACAGAGAGCCTCAAAGAAGATAATTTGAAATGGGGCATTCGTCAAGAGCCGCAGGGCTATCACGTACGTAAATAGTAACCGGCAACTATTTAAACGAGAATCGAACTTCTTCCCTGACAATCCTGGCAAGCCGCAACGCATCCTCCCTTCCCTTTCTTGAGAACACGTTGAAGTATGCCAGGAAGCTGTTCACGCCATGGCTCGGGTGGGCGACCTTTTGACCCTTCTTCACCAAGCATCCATACCGGCTCACGTTCTTGGCCAGATCAGGCCGACGATTGAACAGATCGTCGCAGATATCCCCTGAGTCGAAAATGCCCTCCGCCGAAGAAACGTCGTAGTCCGCGGGGATGAAGACCATCACGCACGTGTACTGGGGGCCGTTCCTGTAAGGGTGACAGAGCGCCTTTGTGCGCTCCCCGTCTCGCAGCGCGATCAGCATTCCCAGACCCCAGTAATCGACGCCGTGCGTGGACTCGATGACCTGTGTGCCCTTCATGCCCGGCGGGCGCGGGTTGATCTCGATGAGCCACGCCTCGGGGCTCTTGATCGCGCCCCGGCTCTGGGCTTCGGCAGCCCTCGGTCGGAGGTCGAGAACGCCGCCCTCAGTGCGGTACTCGACCGTCGAGTTGTCCACTCGTCCCTCGAGGTGCATGACGCCGTTGCGGAGTCCCAGCCTCAGCAGCGTGTTGTGGAAGCAGATCCGGAGCAGGTTAATCTCCGATTCGGGGAGCTTCGAGGGGAACACGCTGTCGAGCTCGATGAATGTATTTGCGCCGCCGGAGCTGGAGCCGTTTGTGTCCGCGCTTTTGGGGAAGTCATCGCAAACCTCGAAGAAGAGGATCTCGCCGTCCAGGAGAACAAAGTTGGCGTCCACCTCCGGACCGGCACAGTACCTCTCAATCACGAATTCACTGCCGTGCCTAGACTTGGAGAGCGCGTCGAGGGGCCCCATGGCCTCGATGAGCTCGGTGTTGTTGTTGATAAGGAATACGCCCTCGGAGCTCCAGCCGTTGCAGGGCTTGATGATGCAGGGGAACAGAGAGCTGCCTTGCCTAGCCGCGACCTGGAGGATCTCCTGTGTGCTCGAGACAAGATGCGACTTTCGTCCCTCGAAGACGCTGGTTGCATACTTATTGGTGGCGGTCATGAGGGCTTCGGGCTTGGAGCTTGGGAGACCAAGCTTTTGCGCCGCCAGGGCTACTTGATGTTGGAACGAGTCACAAAAAGTGATAATACCGTCGACTTTCCCTTGGTAAGTGGCGACTGCCTGTGCAATTCGGTCTGCGAATCCTTCGTCCGGAGGCTGGGACATTTCGATGGGGATGAAAGCCTCTCGCCAGTGTTCATACTCAGGACCCTCTAACCAGTGGCCTGGGACATCGAGAACGACCATCTTAATTCCCAGAGCCATGGCGGCGAGATAGATGTTGGGTCCCGTGCCTCCATCGCTGGGGTGCTGACGACTGCCCTCAACGATGACTAGGGTCTTAGGAGCTGTCGGCGTCGTTATCCACGGGAAGGACAAGCGGTTCTCCGTCTCAGCTTCGACGAACTGTGAGAACGAGCGGGCTTCGAGTGACTCAACCCCGGGCGGCAGTGCCTGAAGGATGAGACCACCCGCAGACACTCCGAGTAGTTCTGCGAGGTCGTCTAGTTGAGAGACTTGAACAGGCAGACCCGAAAAGAATCTCAGTGGCTCTGCTAGGGACGACCGGGCGTCTACGAACTCGCAGTCAATAAAGCGGAGCGGAATGATATCGGATCGAACGATTTGCCCCTTAACGAGCGGCACGATGAGCTTGGCGACGCGGGGGCCGAACCCGAGGCCGCTTTCTAGGGATGCGCGCAGACATCCAGAGAGAAAATCGGTCGCAAGCCTAGATGTCGAGATGGAGAAGCGCCAGTCATCGTCCCACGCGTGGCTCAGCCGTGTGTTGTTGGAGGCATCTGTTGGGATAATATCGAAGACAATGTCGATGGTTTGCCAATCGTTGCCGCGAATCGGATTTGTGTAGGCTTTCCAAGAGAATTCATATACGGCTGACTATGATTAGATAAAGGACTAAAGCTGTGCCTGATGTAGGTAAGGGATGATCACTACTTTACCTTTATTCGTTGGAGATAGGACTTGGAAGTGATTTCTCGCGGATTTGGTTTGGTCCGGCAGATCAATGATGTCGCCCATGATGACTGGAATGCTAGTATACAACGGAAACGACTTTTTGCAATTATTACAAAGCTGTAGCGTTCTTCTTTAAATTGGAGCCATCGTCTTGCTGGATCTCTCATATGACATTAAACATACTATCTCCAGCTCTTCTCAAGACGTGGCCGCAACGAGCCTTCTCTGGCGGCCTACTTGAAGCACCATTCGAGAAGCTTCGTGCTTATACGTCTGAGTTTACCTTTCAACATGCCAAGCTTACGATGTTTTGCCGACTTACACGTACATAATATGACTGGTTTGTGATTATCTGGTTGCTTACGTGCTTGATTACCCGATCCACAAGCAACCATGCTTCAACGACTCCACTCCATAAAAGATCCCTGTCAGCTTCACGAGAAGTTGCAAGAGTATCAATGTCATTCATATACTTTCCAATCTCAAACGGCGACATACTTCCGCCTGCTGCCGGAACCTTTCGTCGACTTCTGTTCTATGAAGCCCCAGCAATTACCGCCAAGATGTCCGACCTACTTTCCGGTCCGCGTAGGTACCTCTTCGATAGAACGCTTACCGAGAGCTTCACCATCGCAGCCTCTTTTCTCGTCGTCTTCGTTCTCTATAAAATCATTCCGTCCCTCATTAGCCTGTACCGCTGGAAAGAGCCGAAAGTCCGCGTGCCTGTCTTGAATCTCGGCGAAGATAAGAACTACGCCTCTGCCTCAGAAAAGTACGTGCACAACTTCAAGTCCATTCTCCAAGAGGGCTGGGAGAGATTTCGAGATGGTGTCTATCAGGTCTGGGGCATCGACGGCTTCGTGGTGATTGTTGCACCCAAGTTTGTCGAGGAGCTCAATGCCAAGGGAACGGATGTGGTCGACGTGCATGCTGCGAGTCAGACGGTATGATATTGTGCAATAATGGTCTGAAACACTCTGAACAATTGACTGATGGGTGTCTATGTAGCGAATCATTGGCGATTACGAATGGCTGAGGATTGCGGACCATCTTCTGTTCCATTCAGTGCAGACGGACTTGACACGACAAGTTGGTACGTGATACTAGCAGCAGCCACCATAGTCTTCTGATGAAAACAAGGAATCCAAGGTTACTGACACCAAAAAGGTGCATTGCTCCCCGGTATGCGAGAAGAAGTTGAGTACGCGTGCTCCTTGCACCTGCCTGCTGGTCAAGGTAAGTAGTTAGCTCAGGAATCATGAAAGCCCAGTAATCTAATAGCTAAACCTTTCAGAATGGTCCGCTGCTGCACTTTGGCCTCGCATGATCAAAATCATGGCCCTAGTCGTCTCTCGCATGACTGTTGGTCCGGACCTGAGCCGCGACGAGGTCTGGCTCGACACCATGGTGGGCTTTCTTGACGACTTGTTCGCCGGCGGCTGGGCCCTCAAGGCATGGTCTCGACCCTTGCGTCCCTTTGCCGCCAGAGGAGGTTTTGTCGCAGGCATTTGCGATGTGTGGAAACGACAAGCTACTGCCAGAGACATGTTGATCCCGATCATAAAGCAGCGCCGGGCGGCGGAAGCGGCAGCTCGAGCTTCCGGAAAGGAGTGGGAAAGACCGAATGACCTACTGCAGTGGATGACTGATAACGCAGCTAAGGACAAGTCACCTAAGAGTGACGGCTTCGTAGCCGAGATGTGTCTCGTCTCAGGATTTGGTTCTCTTCACGCTTCAGGCGTCACCTTGACTAATGCGGTCCTGGATTTGGCGGCAATGCCGAAGTATCAGGACACCATCCGAGAAGAGAACCAAGAGGCGCGGAAGCGCCAAGAGTCAAACACAAAAGAGGCGGCGATCCTTAGCAGCTTAACAAAGCTTGACAGCTTTTTGAAGGAGTCTCAAAGAATGAACCCTACCACATTGAGTAAGTGGTCACTAATACCATGTTCAGATGCTCAAGCTAATGAGGCGAAAAGCTGCATTTTCAAGACAGGTCATGAAGCCCGTAACCCTTTCAAACGGCGTTCATCTTCCGGAAGGGACTCACATCCTCGCTCCCTCATCTATGGTCTCGTGGGATCCTGAAGTCTACTCCTCTCCCGAAGAGTTTGACGGTCTTCGTTTCCATAATAAACGGATGAACGCGGCCGACGGTGGTGCTCATAGAAACCAGTTCACGAGTTACTCTTCCGAGCAATTGCATTTCGGGTTCGGGCGCCAGGCCTGTCCCGGCCGTTTCTTCGGTAGTGCGATCATCAAGCTCATCATACTTCATTTGGTTGATAATTTCGAATTGGACCTTGTTGATAAGGAGGCAGGGAGACCTAAGAACGGGATTAAAGGGGCGATGATCACTCCGGGGGAGGAACAGGAGATACTGTTTAGGCGCAGACAGCTTTAGCTCTAGTTTATTGCAATGAACGCGAGAAGAGTTGTTGTCTTGCACTTTGCTAGAAAGGAGAAACTCTTTGATCTTGCGATTCAATTTACTGACTTCTTCTCGGCGTCCTCATTAAAGTGGAAGCACCCCAATGTATCGACTTTTGACGTTTCTGGCTTTATATTACTTATCATTCGAGCCAGGATATTGGGAGTGGTACCTTAATGAAAGCAAAGGGACAAAGTCACTCTTTCCTGTACCTTGCCAACTCTACCTTATTCGATGTTGTTGGCTCTACAACTCAAGACATCAAAATAAGATGTACAAGATGATCGTCTTCTCTCAATACCCCAGCAATTAGTACCCTTACGGAAGACACATCAATTCGATTTACCACTTTGAATGCACTGAATGCCATTGACAGCTATCTGGGCTTAGTTGCTGCAATACCCATGAACTTGATAAGTTTACATATATCTGTTCTGATCCAACGAGGCCTAGCCACATCAGTGCAGATTTATATTCTCAAAGGCGTCTACCAAGATCAGATACTTATGCTGTCTGAATTCTCCTTTACGGAAGAGAAACACAAGTAAAACGCTACGGGATTAAGAAAAGGAAGGCAGAGAAGCAACGATGAAAAAGGAAATCAGAAAAGCTAGTTGATTTGGCGACGGGTCCGCACGCCGGTGCGACTAAGCTGGAAACTCACCGGGTAATCAAGGTTTGCAGATATGGTTTGTACAGCAAGTAAGCACATTTGAGAGGCAACTCAGCAACACTGAACATTGTCGAGTAGTAGCGTCAACCTGGTATTTTTCTTCGTAATTCTAGGCGTTCCCTTTTAATCTACTGTTGTAATTATTTCAAGTCTAGCCAGTCTACAAACATTCCAAGTTACCTCATCTCGTCGCGCTTAACTTGCACCCGAATACTGTGTTTATTGCCCCACACTCAAACCTTCACCATGGCCGTCCCCAAAGTTGCACCAGCTGAGAGAACGCCAGTCATCGACCAGTCCAAAACCAGCATTTTGCATCCCAACATCCACAGAAAGCCGCCGCCGATTGTAGCCTCTGGCAAAGGGTCGTACTTGATACTCGAAGACGGGCGCCGGATCTTTGAGGCGTGTGCAGGCCCTGCCGTCGCCTGTCTCGGCCATGGGAACACTGAGGTTACTCAGGCTGTTGTCGAGCAGATGCAGAGCGTGTCCTACTGCTTTGCCTTGAATCAGTCCAACCGGCCGGCCGAAGAACTCGCCAAGGCGGTGATTGAGACTACGAATGGAAAGCTTGCAAAAGGAACCATCATGAGCTCTGGTAAGTCTATCTAGTAGCTAAATCGCCCCATGTCTTGTACCTTGCTAACTGATGCAAGGCTCGGAGGCTGTCGAGGCAGCAATGAAACTCGCAGTAAAGTACTTTGCGGAACTTGGCGTACCCAATAGGGCGGGCTTCATAGCCCGAGCGGGTGCCTTTCACGGAACCACTCTGGGCTCACTTGCGTTGAGCGGCAAAGTCGCGTTCCGTAAACCGTTTGAGCCGCTCCTCAAGAGCGACATGGTATCCTTTGTCTCAATGCCCAACATGTATCGCGGCATGCTCGATGGCGAGACTACGGAGGAGTATGTCGAGAGACTAGCGTGTGAGCTCGACGCCGAATTCGAGCTTCGCGGACCCAACAATGTCTGTGCCTTTATTGCAGAAACGGTCAGCGGAAGTGTGAGTTTTCAAAGCTTCTCCATCACGTTTAGGGGACCGTTGACTGACAAAATTAGGCACTGGGCTGCCACACTGCGCCTCCGGGATACTTCAAGGCTATCAAAGCGGTATGCGACAAGCATTCGGCACTGCTAATCCTTGACGAAGTTTTCTGCGGCATCGGCCGCACGGGGACCTACCATGCCTGGCAACAGGAAGATGTGATCCCCGACATCCAGACAGTAGCAAAGGGCGTCGCTGGCGGGTACGCACCCGTCGCAATGATGCTCGTTCATCAGAGGGTGGTCGATGCCATCGACGGCGGATCCGGCGTCTGGAACCACGGGCACACTTTTAGCTCGCACCCCGTGGCATGCGCAGCGGGTGTTGCCGTTCAACGTATCATCAAGAGGGAAGGTCTCGTGGAGAACTCGATGCGCATGGGAGAGCGTCTGGGAGCGGCTCTGCGCGCTGCTCTGAGCGGTCATCCCAATGTTGGGGACATTCGAGGTCGGGGGCTGATGTGGGCGGTCGAGTTCGTCAAGGACAAGGCCACGAAGCAGCCCTTCCCTGCAGAGGATGCCATATCTGCTAGGATAAGTCAGACTGGTCTCTCTGAGCCATGGAACGTTTATTTCTATCCAGGAGCTGGAACTGCCGATGGTATTTCTGGAGACCACATTACAATTGCTCCTGCATATACTGTCAGCGAGAAAGAGGTGGATCTGATTGTTGCCAAGCTCCATGGACTTTTGCTTGATGTTCTCGGCTAAGGCAGTTCCCATTGTATTGTGATGGGGATGAACCCGTATCTTGCCCTTTGGGTGCATTTAAGAAGCATGAGTCGCATCCCCGATAGACGCAGCAAATTTCTTTTTCTTCATGTAGGTACGACATGCGATAGTTATTTTCTTTTTTTTGCATTTATACAAATCATTTAGTAGTGTCATACAAAGCCAGATACAACACTTGTGACGCCTATTCTTGATGCCTCGGGGACAAGTGCAATAGACTGATTGACATCGGCACCATATTCCAAAAGCAAACGCACCAGGTCCTCGTTCCCGCCTAAAATGGCTTTGAAGAGAGCCGAGTGCCCGCACCCATCTACGCTGTTCACATTGGCACCCGCCTTGAGCACGAGGCGGACGATGTTCATCTGGTTACTCTCTACGGCCAGATGAAGCGTGTCCTTGCGCTGTTGCGTCAGCGCATTTAGGTCTCCTCCCTTTTCGATCAGTAGTTTGACGATGGCCTCATTGCCGTGCACAACGGCCGCGTGGAGTACTGTTCCGCCAACTCCGCCTATAGTGGACTGATTTCCAAAGATGGCTTCGTTGGCCTCCTGGTTTTTCAACCAGGAAGATAATGATATGCCTGTCTACATGCCGATTGTCTCAGCATTGACATAAGAAAGTCTTCGACACACCATTAAAATTTTCTTACCTGGGTATCTGTGTTTGCGGAGTTGTCATCATGATCGAAAGTTGGGTAGCCCGACAGCGGGTCCATAAAACCACGCCGTGGGTTGAGGGTAGATTCGATGATGGGGTCTAGACTAAGAGCTCTGGATATCGGAGAGGACCGGAATGAGAAAGCCTCGTCGTCGGAGGGGGGCATAGTTTGGTGATCTCGTTGCGTCTCGTGATTATTCGTTGAAGTCGGCGTCGGTTTGGTGGTGCCACTCCCGCCTGAACCTGCCGGGGACGCACTCCGTTGATTCTCGAGATCCTCGATGCGCTTGAGTAGGCCTTTCCCTATAGGGTGTCAGCATCACTTACGCTACTTCCACTGCTTAGCTCGCGGGTGGGGTATCCGGATGCAACCTACTGTAGGTTCGCTGGGCCTCTCTATTCTGTTGCCGTCTCCTTTCGCTGACAACGTTGCCTGCCATTCTCAGGGTACTTCAACCGAAACGCCAAAATTCACACTTAACAAGAGCTTCCAAGAACGACATTCGTCCGAGAGAGCCGAAGAGACCGCCAAGTAATCCGGTAATATATATTCTCGTTGAGGCCAAGTCCCGAGAGCATGCGGGAAGGGTCGGATCTTCCCGAATCAGAAGATTGGAACTCAGAAGCACGGCCTGCGGGGACGGGTTTTGAAGCCGTGATGGGGACTAATGCAACCCTACTGCGGTCCAAAAGAGATCGTGACGAGTGCTGAGGGCATCCGTGATCTAGGGCAGGATCTTGGCGCCGAGAAAGGCAGTTCAACTTCTGAAAGTAAACATTGACTCGAATGTGAAAAATGACTCGAATGTGTCCGTAATTACGGGCTCCAATGACTCTCTGAAATGCTCCGTGTCTCGGGAAGAAGAGTGGAACAACATTGTGTCAGGAAAGGAGAATGTTTCCTAAGGGTCTGCATGTAGTACCACATAGCAGCCATGCGTTGTGGTCTACCATAAGTACGCTGTAAATCGTGTCGTGGCGCTGATGGCGACTGGAAAGAATCGAAGACAGAAAAGGATTTGAGTTTTGTAGGAAAATTGGGCTGGCGTGGAGACAAAGACCATTACACAAACCTTAAGCTGCCAGCATAAGGTACCAGCCAACGACATGGGCAATGTACCACATGCTCAAAGGAGTGGTCGATTCGGTTTTATTATGGAGAAAATTATTGAAAGCGGCAGTGCCGGACCCCTCCGGAAGCCCCTCCGGAAGCCCCTCCCGGAGGTCGGTCCCGGGGGGCAACACCCATGTCAGTGCGCGTGTACAAACTATCCATAAGGGTTCTGTGGAACTACACTCCACATATCCGCCCGAGATATGGTTTATTATGATTGGTTGTGTAAAGACACAAGCTTTTCATATTTCGTACATTAAAACAGGGTAATGCTAGGTCTAGGTCAAGTCATTTATCAGATATGCTGCCATATAGCCGAAAGAAGACGCGATTTATCAATTTCGTGTGTAACCCTGGGATGTTGTTGTCCCTTTCCACCTTAGTGGCACCCACATCTGGTCCACCGTGTACGGACCGTCATACGGGTTGAATGCATGTGTGGATGAATACGACTGTCCGCGTCTGACATGGTATATAAACTATAACCTGCCTGTTACTTGCCTTGGTGCGTCTTTCTTCCATCATCAAACCCTCACCTCCTCACCTACTCGTCTTCTCACCTTGGTAAGGCGGCAAGTCGACCACTCAGAATCGTTACTGCCACTGACGGTTTCGTCGCGGTCGCCAATCATCCTCGCTGTAAGCATACTTGCTACCTAACCCACTTTTTAAGCAGGCCAGTTCACGTTGTGAACTATGGCAGGTAACACTCTATCAGATCAGTCTCAGTCTGAGAAGCAGGGCGGCTCCATCGTCCCCTCTTCGGACCCGGACCCTGAATCCATCTCCGGAACCCAGCACGGAGACGGAGAATCATCCCCTGCAGAACCAGAACATGAACTCTACCCAGAGGGCGGTACCCAGGCATGGCTTGCCGTTGCGGGCTCCTTCCTCGTTTACTTCGCATCTTTCGGTGTCGTGAACAGCTTCGGCTTCTTCCAGACCTTTTATCAACAAGAGTACCTGAAGAATTACTCGCCCACCGCCATTTCCTTCATCGGAACCCTGCAGATCACCCTGATGTATCTGTCAGGTGCTGTTGCCGGAGCACTGTTTGATCTCTACGGTCCCAAAGTATGTAGCCCTGCTCCCAAGTCCCACTCCTCGGTTATAAATTCGCTAACTTTCATGTAAGTGGCTCTACCTGTTCGCTGCCATTGGTGGTGCCGGCTCCATGCTTGCGACATCCTTCACGCAGCCGAATGCAATCTGGCAGCAATTTCTGGCCCAATCACTTCTCTTCGGCCTCACAGTCGCCTATGGAGTGCAAGTAAGTAGTTTACTCTCCTCCTGTTGAACTACCAACGCTCATCCTCGGCCCCACACTCTGGACATATGGAGGACAAGTGGACCGGGTCCGGTGATGGCATGCGAGATTCATGCAGATGAATCTTGATCCCTAGTAACCTCCCGGATCATTGTAAGCTCTTGAACATACTGACTCCAGTGTGATAGCCCGCTCTCACGGTTGCAGGGCAGTATTTCCACCGCAAGCGTGCTCTGGCCATGGGAATCGTCGCCTCCGGTAGCAGTTTCGGAGGAGTTTGCCTGCCGATCATGTTCTCCAAACTGATTCCCACCATTGGTTTTCCGTGGGCACTGCGTGTCGGGGCCCTGATCATGGTCATCTGCTACGCTATAGCCATAGCCGTCTCCTCGTCTAAACGGCCCAAGAGGAAGATGAGATCTCTTAGGGATCTGCTTGACTACAAAGGCTTTCTCGACATCCGATACTCTTGTCTCTCAGCCGGAGCAGTCATCTCAAGTCTCGGCATTTACGTTCCGTTCTACTACATTGGTAAGTGCATGAATCCACATCTTTTCGGCTTCGTACCCTGCAAATCGCCGTCTAACAAAATCTAGAGCCGTTTTGCGTCGCCCTTGATCCGAATTCGACCATTCGGCCTTACCTTCTCCCGCTGATCAACGCGGCCAGTCTTTTTGGTCGTATCATGTACGTAGTCTTCCCTGTCTCCACCCACATTCTTCAGCAAACTAACTCTCATAGTGGCGGTCATGCGGCGGACCGCATCGGACGGCTGAACTTTCTCTACCCCATGATCCTTTTATGTGGGCTTTTGTGCGTGGCGATGTGGCTCCCTGCTACAACCCCTGGCGTTCTGGCTGGCTTTGCCTGCCTCTACGGCTTCGCATCTGGGGTTTTCATCTCAGTCATGCCTGCCGCCACCGGCCAAATCATCCCTGCTGATAAGTTGGGCGCAAGGCTCGGCGCTTTTGGCACCGTTACGTCCATGGCGTTTTTGACCGGCAGTCCAATCGCTGGCGCGTTGATTACAAGTGAGACCCGAGCCGGGTACCATTCTCTGATCATCTTTGCAGTAAGTCTTGCATTTCTCCGTCTTATTGATCAGAAATCATTGCTAACGGCATATTCTTAGGGGTGTTGTCTGCTCGGAGGAGGAGCCATCATCTTCGTTGCTCGGCTCCTGCACGACAGAAACCTCAAAAGCAAATGGTAAACTGACAAGTATGCGAAGGACTAGAAAGTCCATTCACGTGGTAGCGTTGTGCTTCACACGACCCATCTAGGCTGCATTCTCAAAACGGCAGCTCGACGCGACACTTGGATGCGATTTTGGTTGGCTGGACTAGATCACTAGACACATAGGATTCACTCTGGAGGATGGAGATGAGAAGTATGAAAGTGGATATACGGTCTGTTGGGCAAAAGACCGAGTTGGGCTGAGTTGTGACTTCTAAGTGACTACCAGAAGAAGCACAAGGGATGTGGAATGTGGGCGGACTGTGGGAAAGGAAGGTTCGAGGCTGTATAACCTATACACGTAACTTTCTCGGTAGTATTGAATTATAGCCCGAGCAGAAGATTGCCTCAGCTATGCTTACCGCTTCCAATATGGCATCTCGAAGCATAGTACATGCTGACCTGGGGCAAAAGCGATCGAAACTCAGCTTATGCACAACAGCATGTCATCATATCGCCCCCTGTTATAAAGAGACTACCTCGAAATACATATTTAAGATCACACCGCCATTATACGGACATCTTCCCGGTTCCCAAGACCGTGAACGGACTTTTCATCACTCTCCGAAGTTATCCCAAGCCATGTCAGAAAGCGCCACATACTTGATCACTGGAGCGGGTCGCGGTACGTGCCTCATCAAATTTACTTTCCCAAAAAGCCCCATTCGGTACACCTGGATCTAACTGGGCATCAACTGAGCAGGCCTCGGTCGCGGCCTCGCCGAGGCGCTCCTCCAACGGCCCAACACCACAGTCATTGCCGCAACGCGCTCTCAAGACCAGGCCTCTGATTTGCTCAGCTTTCGCACCCACTCCGGAAGCAGACTAATCACCATCACAATCGATAGCCGTTCCCCGAAGGACGCCTCCCTTGCGATTGAGAAACTGGTCCACGATCATGGAGTGGATACGATCGACGTGGTAATCGCCAACGCGGGCATCAGCAAGGCCCCTACCCCGGCTGCGGAGACGCCAATTGAAGACGTCCTCGACTGCTTCACTGTAAACGCCGTTGCGCCCTTGCTTCTATTCCAGGCTACGTGGCGCCTCTTAGCGAGATCGTCGACACCAAAGTTTGTCGTGATCTCGAGTATTGCCGGGAGTTTGGGCGAGGTCCCTCGGTATGCCTCGCACTGCGCGGCCTACGGCTCCTCCAAGGCCGCGGTCAACTTCATGGTCCGCAGGATTGGGAGAGAGAACGAAAGTCTAATCGCCCTTGCTCTGCACCCAGGGTAAGCCGTCACTTCTCTCTTTCTCCCCTCCTCATCTTCTGCTTTGCATACCGTTCGATAATGATCGCTAATGAATGTCTTTGCGGGGTGAAAAGGTGGATGCAAACGGAGATGGGCAACGCTGCTGCGGTCAGGTTCGGAAAAAAGGAGGCCCCTGTCTCTGTCGCTGAGGCGACGGACTCCATTCTCACTGAGGTATGCATGCTCGGATGGTTGTACGAGCTGCATTGCTCGAAACTAACTGTTGAGCAGATTGATCAAGCGACCCGGGAGACTGCAGCTGCATTCCGCACCTATGATCACAAGGAGCTTCCGTGGTGAATGCGATGTAGGCATTCTGTGGCTAAAATCATCTATTCTGTTTGACCAAAGGGTCAAAATCGCCGGGAAAGTGTCCATAGACGAGATCAATAACACTTTTCTACTGTTTTATCCCACTCCCTGCTGTCATTGTATAATCATAATCACCCTTTGACACCGTATTTCCATGTCTATCGTGACATTCTGAGCTATTCGAAAACTCGGAGTTTTGAGAATAGCTGTATAACTCTTCTAGTGGTTGTCGGGTAGCCCTAAAACCTGTGACTGAATCCATTGGGGAAGGAATTATGTGCAAAAGCTTTTACCAAGCCATACTAACGAGATAACTAAACTTCATGTTGATGTTGTTGCCTCCATGTATACTGTAGTATTGGGGCATCCCTCTGCGTTACGGTTAACGGTGCTGTGAACCCAACTAAATTTAGCGCGTAGCATGTTCCATGTCTGTTACCTACCTTACCTTACCTGAGAAAGTTCAAGTTCCTCAAGCCTTGCTGGTCGCATCACTACATCGCAAAGGGTCTGAACATTGTGCTATTAGCGAGATGATACAAAAGTAACTGCTTACGCAAAGACTCAAACTAAGCAAGAAGTTAAATTTTCCGCTCGCAGGTGCTCTACCTTTTTGCTTAGATGTATGCACATATGAAGCATAAGTGTGTTCACTACACATAATCACTTGCTTACCAGCATAGATGCGTCTCAAGGGCACCCCTGAATTGGGTAATTGCCTGTGTCAATATCGACGTGCTTATTTTGACCAGTCATTTACTCTCAGCTTTCCAAGTTCCATGTAGAAGCATTTTGGCATGCTGGTTAAGGCTTACCATTCCAAATTACAGACTTGGCAGTTGCTTTGAGTGATGATACAATCGAGTCAATGGAAATAGTCGAATAGTCGATGGTGACAACGATTCGATTTTTCACGAAGATTGAAGCTGCGGCCCGTTCGAGTTGCCTACGGCTCAACTCTAATGCTGACAGGCAAGGCCCTCTAGAGTGGCGTGAGGGACTGAGGAACACCGACCATCTTGCCATCATACATGTAGCCTTACCAACGGATTCTTGGCACTGAACTGATGATTATGTTTGCTTGCCAAAACATCTCAGCAGAAGTCATTCAATCGGGACTCTTGCACGAAGATTGAGAATATCGGAGACTGGGTGAACACTCTAGTCAGTTGCCCTGAGCCAGCTCCAACTTCGATAAAGGAAGCTCGCTGTCTTCGACCGAATTACATGTTTGTTCTGAGATTCATTCCTATCATTCTTTGTACAGCTTCATCAGGTTGGCCTTCAGATTATACTCTCAAACATTTATTGAAGTGTAGTACATCACAACACAATTCAAGATGACGGCCACCAACTCAATTGAAACCGCGGCAGCTCCCGAACCTGCCATGGAGAAGTTCCTTCTGGTCGGTGCTGGCGCTCACGCCAAGAGAACTTATATTCCCCATCTCAAGACTCTTCGTGAAGAGGGCAGGGCCTATCTCAAAGTTGTTGTCGATATCGAGCGATGCAAGGACAGAGTGGAAGACCTCTTGTTCACCAAGGGAATGGCTCCGGATGCGGAGCTGGTTCTGGTCCCGGCCTACGACGGACCCATGCCTGCCGACGTCGCCGCGCGCCTGAACGAAGTTGTGGCGCGGACTGGAGTGACCTGCGCGGTCATCAGCACGGAGCCTCTTGCCCATAAGTCATATGGTCTTTGGGCTGTTTCCGCAGGTTTGAACATCATCATGGACAAGCCTATCTCGACTAGGAACGGCGCAGTCACCGACTTCGATGCAGCCTTCGGAATTGCCGAGGACTACCAGGATCTTGCTGATGCCTACGAAGAGCTCCGAGAGCGTCAGATTGCTCAAGGCCAGAAGCCAACATTCTTCCAGATGAACAGCCATCGCCGCTACCACCCTGGATTCTACTGCACCTTCGACATGATCAAGGAGATTCAGGAGAAGACCAGATGTCCCGTTACGAACATCATCTCAACACATTGCGATGGCAAATGGCGCATGCCTTCAGAGATCGTGGATGAGCCATACCACCCCTACCGTACAGGCTACGGCAAGGTCTCTCACAGCGGCTACCATTTCTTTGACATGATTTACAACTTTATGCGATCCGGCTGGTCCGACACCAAGCGCCCCGACAAGATGGAGATTTCCAGCAGCTTTGTACTCCCCGCTGGTTTCGTCACCACCTTGAACGAGGACGACTACGACCACATCTTTGGAAAGGAGGAGTACGCCAAGTGGAAGAAGTACACCGATGAGGAGTTGATGAAGCTCATGGCCGACATGGGAGAGATCGACGCTTCCATCCAAGTCACCTTCTCTCGCGGGGGTCACGCCATCGCTATCGCCCAGATCAACCTCCTTCACAATGGCTTTTCCCGCCGCAGCTGGCTGCAGCCCGGCGCTGACCTGTACAAGGGCAACGGAAGAGTCAAGCATGAGGCCCATGAGATCCGCAGCGGCCCTCTGCAGACCATTGTCATCGACTCCCGTCAGGCCAACGACAAGCACGACCGCTCCAAGCCCAGCACCGGCGAGATCGGCACCGACAACCACTTCGAGGTCCACGTCTTCCGCAACCACGACATCACCGGCGACGAGGCCCCCCTGAAGACCTTCACCGTCGCCGACCTCGACCGCCGCTACAACACCGCTATGCCCGGCATCTATTCCGAGAACGTCAAGCGCGGAATCTTGTGGGAGGCTGTGGACTTTCTCCACGACAAAAAGACTCTTCCCGAGCTCACCTCCAACTTGGCGGACCACGCCATCCCCGCCTACATCATGAGCGCCGCTTACATCTCCCACATCAGGAGAACGCGGGGTCTTGACCCTACCGTCCCCGTCGAGCTCGCTTACGGAGGTATGTTCACTTCATGATTTTGCCCTGATTTCGAGACGTAGTGAACTGACCTTTCTTCTTTCCTTTAGCCGATGGACTGGCCAAGGCCCACATTGCCGAGGCTCTGTACAGACCTTTCGAGACTGCGAGTGATGCCAGCAGTGCTACAGACGTGGACCTGGCGACTCCGCTTGACGAGCCCTTACTCACAGAGGCATCCATCAAGGCAGCTAAGCTCGGTCTGACGGAGCCTTTGGCGTCTTTGAACGCGGTTTGAGCTGGCGAATGAATAAAGACTGGTAGTCCGCCATAAGTAACCACATTGCTGAACGGAGAGGGTTAGAAAAGGCCCCGGTCATTAGTCTGTTCAAAGGGCTATCGCTTCAAGGTCTCGGATGCGTGTTGGGGACGTAGAATGAAAGTATGGCTATCTGGATCATCGTCTATAGCAGTATTTTGCTTATAAAAGTTATATGTTTCGTTTTTTAAACACGTTAAATGGAAGTGATGTAAATGTTCGGTTCCCAGGCTCTAAAGAACAAACTCACTTGAGGTCTTCGTTACTATGCCTTTCGCGATACAGGAGTTAAATGCCCTGTGTTGCTGAATCTAGGTAGGCTTCAGCAACATAGTTGACGTAGTCGGTAGGATCGGGCGTAGAGATTCTCCGAACGCGTTGGACGCGTTTATCGAGGATTCGCCTTTGCAGCCGAGGAATGAAGCAGTCATCTTGGTGGTTGTAGGTGCTCACACTATTTTACCGCTATTACCGCAGGTACAACTGATATCTACATACAGGATAAGCCTAGTAGGAGGGTTAAGCTGGATTCAGTAACAAGACAAGGTGGGGTACTATTGGCTAGGAGGCTCTCAAAACTTTCTCTTAATTCTCGATAGCGTTTATCCCATCGGGTGCGAGTCGACGTTAATCTACCTATCTCCAGTTTTTCTCCATAGAAATTTACGTGTCGATACTGACGACGACTCGTACCCGACGGGATGGGTCGTAATCCCACCCGGCTCAGGGACCTCACCCACAATATTGGAAATAACAGTGGTGGCTCTATTCAGTTCGACATGATCTTCATTTTCTTCGATAATAACGTATCTGGACTCTGTTCAATTCAGAGGTTGTCGTTCTGTGATGATGATGCTCGTGAGTTTCCGCTTTTTAAACTTCCGGGGTGTGGAAACTAGGCGAAACTCCCACGCAGCCTCCGAACTTGCCAGGGCGTCAATGTCTTTTTCTCTGTCCAGCCGCAACATTTCATTCATCCGGGAAGTTCGATCTTTGATGCTTCGGTATTGACTGCAGCATCTAAGATCGAGTTTTGTCCTCAAATGCATATTCTTACTGTGTCTTGTCAAGTCCATCCTGCTCGACTTGTCATCCTATCCATTCCGCCGGTCATGTCGGTTTAGTGCTCATTTCCAGTCCTAGCATTGGCTCTTACCTCCCCTGTAACTTGTCCATTACCTTCTGTATGATTCTCCTTGGCCACAAAGATAGGCTGATGGCTCGTTCAGCGGTCAAGATCAGAAGCTGACTGACCCACCCGTCCGACAAGCGATTAGCACAGGTGCAAGAAGGACGGACGTTGGCTTTCAGCCCGAGGCTTAGACACTGGCCCGGGTCCCGCACGGCTTCGAGTATATTAAATGTCACTGCTCATGACTCTGGAAGTGCTCTGTCGTCAGCATTTTAATACATCTTAATTTAACAAGGTTTCAGAAGTCAATCCGAGTCAGATCGCACAGTTTCAGGCCATATATAGACACGGGGTTCTCTCTAGTGTCAGCCTTGATAGTATTTGAACACGCCTTTCGCCGCTGCACTACAGAGTCCGGTTCCTCAGCATCTAGAAACATTTTTACAACACACTCTTTCTCAGTTAACAATCATGAAGGTTTCTGTCATTACCACCCTGCTTGCTCAGGCTTTCGCCGTTAGTGCTTTGCAGAAGTACTGCAACGGTGGACAAGGTCTCGCCAGCGGAAACACCTGTGAAGTGAGTGTCCAAAGCTTAAATGCAGTACAATACGATCACTGACATTGATGCGCGTCTAGGGAAAGGGAGCAAACTCTTATTGCGTAAGTTGCAGCCATTCTGCTAGGCAACTTATATCTAATCATCACCAAAGTGCCTCAACGTACAATCATCAGCGTTCCCCACTTTCCGCGGATCATGCTTCTCCCCCCAGAGCATTCGTGATCGGGAGGATGTCAACCAGGACTGCCCTGGAGGTGTAAGTTATCCCTTGCTGTTTCGTATCCATGAACTTGTTTGCTGATCAACCTCCCCTAGTCTGTCTACTGCGTAAGCTACCTATCACTGACCCTGACAAATGAATGGCTGTTTACTTTTCTTAGTGCGACTAAGCTACTCGATCTCGCAATACTTGACGGAGAAGGTGCTAGGAGAGTAATTCGGGGGTTATCAAGGTCTTTGCGGATAAAGGCCCTGAACATGACCTATGCTATACGCGCCGTCAACGGGGATTGGGATAAGAGGCTTGCCAAGCTAGACCTGTCGATCGTATCGACTATCAATACCACCATAGAAGACAGCTATTTGATACCAATGCAGGTGTGGGCGCAGCGGCAAATTTCTAAGCATCCTGTCTTGAGGCCAAATCTTCCCCGGTGACACCATGACACGAATAGACTGGGCTGTCCGCCAACGCCAAAATGTGGCTGAAACTTGTTTCTACTTGGTAAATCCAGGGTCTTTACCAATGGCAGTCCCATCTCTTCACGGAATAACACATTACAAAATACTTAGTGAGAATGTGGAAAAGGCTTCTACACACGATGTTCAGATTGAGGGTTTTCTGAAATAAGGTATTTATCAATAATCTGTCTAGCTTCACCCTCTCAATAAGCTTGTTTTACAAACATTCAGCTATTGTTTTACAAACATTCAGCTATAAATAGGGAGATCGGGGTTATGAAGGAGTGTATCTATGCCCATATTATCAGCTGACTGAAGTCCCTCTCGGAGGCAAAAGTGTAGACTCGGTAAACGCTGTGATCAATATGTCGAGTATACATAATCCATTATTGTTACTAAATTCTTTTGCCTTAGGAGGAGTGGTATTCAGCGCTTTCCAACAAGTTATCATGATCTTAGCTTGCTCCCGAAATGAAAAGAAGTTATTCAGTGAGCCACATATCCTTTATACTTTCCAGGATTGCTGCTTGCCTACAATTGTCACTCTCAGAACCAACATCAAGACCGTCATTGCCACCATACCGAGTCCTGATAGTAGTTGCACGCCCAGATACCCATCGGTCGCTCGAAGCAGGGCGCCCGCTATCGGTGGTCCGGCCAGTGAACCAAAAGCATTGGTTGTGCATAACATGCCCAGCCAAGTGCCATGTAAGCTGAGGTCAGGCACGAGACTCGAGATAACGGTAGGCGGCAGTGATACGAGCCCACCAGACGCGAACCCGTATGCGAGTGCAAAAGCGACGCTGCCCGCGGCGTCATGCACAGCCAGCCAGCTCAGCGCGACGGCGGCGATGGAGACAGAGACGCCGAGGAGAACGTTAATGGGTCCAAAGTGGCCGGCAAGCCATGCAGGAAAGACTCTGCCGAGGATTGAGCCCGCGTTGAGGATCGCGACTAGATAGTACGGCAGTCTCGAAGAGCCCCCGCTTGATAGGCCATGGGCGAGTGAGTATTGCTGGAGATAGTAGATGGGCGCCATGTAGGAGAAGAAGTTGAAGAACATGGCAGCGGAGAAGACAACAAACGAGACGGTTCGGTACGCGGAGAGGTCCAACATGACACGGCGCTTCCGTTTTCCGGCGCCTTCATCATCGGATTCGGACTCAGCCCGGCGACAGCGCTGCCGCAAGACGGCGAAGGCAAAGGCATTTGTGGCGAGGGAAATGAAAGCGAGGACCCTCGTAGCCCAGGGGAAGCCCAAGCGGGGGTACAGGCTCTGAAAGATGAGAGGGTACACGACGCCGCCGAGAGAACTGCCCGTAGCGACGATGCCCGTGGCGAGGGCGCGACGTTCGGAAAAGTACTGCGGGATGATGGAGACGGACGGGATATAGATGCAACCCGAGCCAAGACCGACGCAGAATGCTTGCGCTAGGAGCACTTGCCAATACGCCGTTGCGATGCTAGTCATGGTCATGCCGAGGAAGATGAGGGTGATGCCTGTGAAAGTGAGGCTGCGGAAGTAGCCTGCGTCGTAGAGGGGGCCGACGAGGACGCCTGTGAAGAGGAGAAGGGAAGACTGAATAGAGCCGATCCAGGCTATCGAGTCGGCGGATACATCCTTCATGTGTTCTTGGTAGTAGGCTTGGAAGACGCCGTAAGAGCTCAAGATGCCCCTGCGGATGAGGTTAGTCGTGAATTGCTTCATAACAGCAGGTTACGCCGCAAAACTGAAACGAGAACCACCGACCATGAGTTGAAGAATAAAAAGAATGAGCCTGCAACTTGAAGCCAAGCCAAACGGCCGCCATCTTGAGGCCGTATATCGATCGCGACACTTTCACTCACGTTGGCGGTGGTCGTCTCCTTCTGTTGTGTTGCTATGCTTGCCTCGGGATAGAATTCCGAATGCGGAATCGCATCGTTGGAGATGCGATTGTTGATTGACATTACGGCGAACCACTGAGAACTTGAAACAATCCCGTAGAGAACTTAAAGGCACCGCCAGTACATTCTGACATGAGCAAGTGAAAGGAAACAATGGCAAAAACTCAATCGTAGGCGTAATGGTTTGTGGTGCAACCGTCGCTTTGAAACACAATTGGCATCGCTACTATGGGCAGTCTCTTTTTCCATACGGCAAATTGTGCGCCGCGCCGAAGGCCGCCGGCGTCGGGAGGGGTCGATTGACACAAGTCATGATGAGTTGCCGCCCCATAAGGCGCAATCGACGTCGGAGAAGGTTTCCCTACCCTTGTTGAGCCCAGTCGACAACGCGGAGGCCTTCTAAGAGGAATTGAGCCCCGCAAAGTTGAATTGCGCCTATAGTCTAATGGCACTTAAGTACTTCATTATTCATCATCAAAGGCGTAGGGGGAAAAGGACTGCGGAAAGCGGAAGCCTTAGAATCGGCTTTTTGCCGTTCGCGGTTAGGCTCTTCCCGAGACTGCGGAGACCGTCCGAAGCCGAACTTTGGTCAGATTTGTTCGGTTAGATGCTCGATAAGACTCAGAAAGTTCGGCTTGTTGACATCCCCCTAATGATCTCGAAGATAATCGTGAATGAAGAAAAGTCTAGCTCAGTCGTGAAACTTGGATGTCTACTCATCTCAGGCATGCCGTTTATTGCTGTTGTTTTGGCTTCCAGTTCGGCTTTCCCGTGAATATCGGCATTCATCATGGAGCGCGCGTCTTCACCACTCCGCTACCGAAAGAATGGTCGGCTTCAAGCATGCGACCCCTGCCGCCGTCGCAAAGTCGCATGCGACCACGCCCGTCCGGTCTGCAGTAATTGTAAGAGACGGAGGCGAACGGAACCGTGCGAGTTTACAATGAGTACACCGGCGCAGATGCAGCCAGGTCCAGGAGCTCCCCGTGCTGTCTCGGAACGAACGTCACGGTCAACCAGTGTGACAGGCTCGGAAACGGGCGCCGAACAGTTCCAACCCGCAACTGCGTCCACACTGGTTAACCAACGGTCTGAGATCAGCCCTGCCGTGACGGAAACGGAAATACATGGACAATGCGCTCCGAGTCGCGAGGTCGTTGTGCCGGAGAGCGCGTCCGGCCACCTCGGCTTCATGTCGTGGAGCGACGTGTACAAGGAAGTCGGTAACGGGCTCTCTGGCCATGATGTACACGCCGCGAAGGAAATCCGTTCTACTTCTAACGCCGGCCGGGAAGCCAGGTCCATTATCCTTTCCGAAGACGCCAGGACGCTGGAGACTTGTCTCTTCATCCTCCGCCTGGTCCCCGACGAACGTAAGGGCCGGGCACTCTTTGACTCACACTTTGACCCGCACAATGCCTTCATCCACCCCGTTGCTGTGCGGGCTCTGGATTCGCTGTATGGTACTTTTGGGCACTACCTCAACAATTCGGACCGGAACGATGCGCAGCTCTCAGAGTTTGCGCGGCGGCTGTGCTATAACTCGTCCCGGCCGTTCTTCGAGCACGAGCCTGATCCGGAGCTATGGATAGCGCAGTTTACCAAGGAGAATCTGAGGTGGGAGACGTTGGGGCTGCTATTCATTTACTGGGAAATGAAGCTTCGGAATGAGCAGCTTCCGAGAACGGAGGTTGGACGAATGGGATACGGGCAGAAGAACGCTTTCAGGAAGTGTATCTTTGACTGCATTACTTTAGCAAGGCAGGCTAATGAGGTTGGGAATACGCTGTTGCTGTACCTTTACTTTAGGCGGATGATTATCGAGTCTATCATTGACGGAGATACCAGTAAGTTCCTAGTGACACATCAAGCCGCCAAGTCTCGACAGACACGCAACCTTCATTGGTGGAGGCTAACATGTGGTGTAGGTCGCTCAACATGGATGACACAAGGGGAGACAGTATCACTCCTTACCTTCCTGGGCCTACACGTCGAACAGAACAAGGGGCCCTATAAACCAACCTTGGCATCCGAACTGCGGAGACGGCTTCTCGTGAAAATCTTCGTCCTCGACAAAGTCGGCTCCGCGATCACGGGGCGACCACCCGCCCTGAGTCGCCGATACATCCTGACGCCGCCGCCGCTCGACATACGAGACGAATACCTGCTATGCGACGACGAGACAATCAACAAGGCGGTGAGATCGCTTGACAAATCGGGATGGAACCCCGATGGAGCGCTGAACTCGGTCACATTCTGGCGAGCTCGGTATAAGCTCATGATTATCCGTGACGAGATCTTTGAGGTTGCTATGGGACCTGAAGCGGCTATATCGGTGGAAGTTCTGCTGTGAGTGCGCAAGCCGAGCGCATAATCATTCGACTATACGTCCGAGTTGAGTGCATACTGATTTTGCGTTCATCTGATAGTGCACTGAAAGCGAAAGAGTTCGCGGCTGCGGCCGAAATGCCAGCTATCATGCGCTTCAAGGAATCAGACACTCGAAATCCGAGTCTCACTGGTCAGATGCTCCACGTGCGGTTGCTCATGCAGCTGGAACATCTGCAGAACCTCTTCTTCATTGAGCGGTTATTGAATCGGAAGGACTGTTCCAACAAGCGGGATTTACTGTCGGTCAGCTACGAAATGACGGCGACGACATTGCTCTTCTGGACTGATATGGATGGTTTCAGTGTCTTGTGCGAGGATTTCAAGTGGCTTGTAAGTGCAACGATGCATCAAACTCAAAGAACCTCAAAGCTAGAGCTACATGACTGACATCCGCGACTCCCTCAGGTCATGGCATATGCCGCTCCAGGAGGCGGAATCCTTTGCCTAGAGTTACTGAAGCCAACACCGACCCTAGGAAACAGCGGCATCCCCGTCACAGACAGTACCGGCAAAGTCATCACCAGGTCCGGTATTGTACAAGTGCTGAGTCTTCTGGTCGGCTTCCTCAAGTGGGTGAGCCCGTCCGAAGCCCCGGGCAGCATCTGCGCGAGCACAATGACTATTGTGAAGCAGGTGCTGGACGAGGCACTCAATGGGGCGCCGAACCGCAACCCGTCTGGCGATGCAATGGAGTGGGACTTTTCGGCGCAGTTGGATTTCAACTTCGACCTCTTGGACACGTACGAATGGATGCGCCCGGAGTTTTCATGGAGTGATTTGCAGGCATAGAGTTAATTTGGGTTGAAGGCTATTAGCAGCTGGAGTTATCGGTTTGATTTACAACTTGCAAGTTCAGAGCATCTCCATTCATTGCGTCTTCAATGACTACTTTACAAACACGACCTGAAGCCATATTAGGTACAAGAACATGGATAACAGACTTTCTCACCTATGACTTGATGGTCCAAGATTGCATTATCTCTCTCGTCCAGTCCCAGGAACTACGGTGGTGAGGGTTACAAAATTATGGTGGGGTACCTAATGGCTTTTTGCGCTCAGGCCTTGCAACCAATCGGTCGGTTAGCTCAGTTGGTTAGAGCGTGGTACTAATATTTCACCTGAAATGTTGTGTAATGCCAAGGCCGGGAGTTCAAGCCTCCCACTGATCACACACTTTTGCAAATATAGCTTTTTGTTGCTGATATCCATCTGGGTACGCTTTGTCTTTTGATATCATGGAAATCCGTCTGAAGTTTTGGCTATCTGTTGGAGGTTTGCGAAGCGTTGGTGGCTTGTGATCTGATTGGCTAGGTTCAAAGTCAGTTACAACTTTGTGGAGAATTGACCGGGTACGTCCTCTAGTGTCTGTGACATTTGGATATACTCTACAACTGTGTTAACTTTTCCTTCCTCAAAGAATTTTCTAACATTCTATCCGCCCAATGCTTCTATCTGAGCCCAAAGGTCTCGATCAAGCAAAAATCGAGGCAAAATAATTGGTTAAATTCTGGTAGTGATGGCTGGCTATAATCCTTCCCAAATCAGGGCCATTAAGAAATCCTCGCGACCTTTTGTGTGAACCGCGTAGATCATCATTACACTTCTCCGGCTCCTGGAATTCATAACCGCACGCACATGGGAATGGCAAACGTGTCTTCTGACCCTGCCGGAACACACGAAATTACATCATCTAGAAGCAAGACCTGAAAATCAGATAGATACGAGAGCCTCAGCTCATCAGACCGACATGGCTCTTGTTTCGCGTCATTTTTCTGAGTACTTACGTTGTGGCTGACTTCTAACAGATCCATTGACTCACAAGTCCATGGTCTTGAGTAGGGCTCAATGTCTTGAACGTAAGGTAGCTCTGGCTAGAAAATACATGGCGTACTTCCTACCGTGATACCGACCTGAATCTCAGCCATGTGAAACAACTGCTGGTGACCGGCCACGCTTCTGCAGGGTCCAAATGCGACGATGTGGCGAGTTTCGTGGACAACCTGAGCTTAGCATTGGAAGCGACTGACTCGTAAAATGGTTCGTGAGGATGTAGACTGACTGGATCGACTACCTTAGTTCGGCGCGGTGATGAGATGACGCTAGAAGAAGTAAGCTTGATTGTTGAAGCGAGGGGTTAAGCCGGCACTTGTCACTGCACAGGTAAGTGACTCCGGGAAGGTTTTGGTCGATCGGCTAGTTCGCTCCGGCTAGCTCGCCGTATCTGCAAGACCAACGGTATATCACACCCCGTCCAATTCTTTTGCAAATTTGTGGCTTTCGCAGTGGCTGGCGATTCAGGCTGTCCATCAAGGTGTTTTGCCACACGGATAGGATCAGTAATTCTCCTGTATAATCGCTACAGCCTACTTCCGAAATCGACAATTGCGAGTGGCAAGCGCGACTATGGCGCAAGTTGCGAACTTGCCAAGATGGACAACTTGGGTGCGCTAGGTTCGACTTTTTCGACTGAACGAAAACGCTAGTCTTTCAGTTGTCGGAAGTATCGCGCCCCCGAGTTATGAGATCACTCCTTATTCCAGATGAATGTGCTGGTGTCTCCATAGAAAAACATGCGTAGAGTGAAATCTTGACTTACTCGCTCCCTCGGACTTCGGCGGAGAAGTACATGTAACGATCGCCCGTATACACCAAGGTCCAGACTAATAGGGCCACCTGTTGAGGCGAAGAAAAAATATACTCGGTTATGGGAGCGTCTGCGAGTACAGCTTGTACCTACAGCCAGAGGCAAAACATGGCCTGGAAAGACCCTCGAGTCCTGATGTAACTGCAGTATGCCACAGTGAACTACCTCAAGGCACTTGAGTACGACCGCATTCTTAATTTTCCGCAACTTTCATTTCTAGGCTGATAAAGCTGATTCATCCGGCCGAAAGCAAGGCAGCAGAAGGGTAGCGTATATCTGGGTGCCCTTACATGAGGCATTCAACATTGCAGAGTCGATACCTTACTTACGTTCTGAAAGAGCCGATCGGCTAATGATAACTCCAAGCGTGATATACCTCAATAATAGCCTATATGCTTAAAGCGATGGTGAGTGACAGCTACAACCACCTACCTTAGACTCTGGTGTCCCTCATAGACTGTAGTGTAGCTCCGCCTGCCTATCACCTATGAGAAACCCCGCAAGCGAAGTGTAGTAGAATTCTTGGAAACGCAAAGGTCAAAGCGCGAATGGTTCCCAAGCGCGCAACGTCGTATCGATGCTGAAGAATGTCCCATCGCTTACTAGCAAGTCGCAGGTGGTGAATCTCGGAATCTGCCCGTTGTAGTTTATGAGATTCCGGTAAATGATGTTGCTTCTACCAGCCCTTGACCATGTTTCATCCCGCTGACAAGGTTGAGATTTGAGAACGTGGCAATGGGAAAAATCCGTCACATCGAGGCCGCATAGCGTACAGCTCGTACTCCAAGGTACAAGCGGCTAAATGAGTATGTAGACGGATGATGACGCTCAATATTCATATCAGTATGGGGCCCAGTGGATCTTACAGTCATCATACCTATATCACGAAACAAACTAGGGACAGCAATGTCGCAAAGCTAAACTTTTGTTGAGAAATACTAGTATTGGACACCCTCAAGGCGCGAGAAGACCTCCCAAATACGCAGAGGAGAGATGAATCATGTGCGCAAAATAAGGCCCAACCTGTTCAGTGTGGCCGCGTTCATTAAGACTCTGATCACTCATCCTCCGTCTAACAAATCTTGATTAATAATAGTTAGTCTACAGCAAGAGGTTCGATCACCAATGCTATTGATTGTTAGTCTTGGGTCTTCTCATCATGTGAGCAATTGCAAACACAAAGACTAGAGCAAGTTATCACGCAAGGTTTCAGCGCAGATCATTGAAATAAGTCTTACACAAAGGCTTCTACGCAATGTGCATGGGGTTACTGACAGTAATATGCATGCGCCCTATCCGGCTCATTCAACAACTTGATGTCTCAGAGACGACGAGATCGTCTCAAGTCATTGCTTAAACTCCCAACCCCTGATGTCGATCCGCAACGGTCAGACCGCACCAGACCCCCATCCACCTATTTTCAATAGCTTCTCAAGGGGGTTCCATAGGGTTGACCACATGTTACGTCGGCAACTGCTGGCTGCAACCCACTGAGACACGTCAATGCAGATCCGGGCAAAACTGCCATTGGCAAGGGGACATCTCGTCGCTCAACCTGCAATTGGCCAGTAACATACGCTGTGCATGCCATACGCCACGCGGACTCCCGCCTTCAACGTAATGCCCGGTGGTTTTGGCGGGGGATGCCGCCTCTATCTCGTCGAGCCATCGGCTACCTCCCCCACTAGACTTGGACGAGAGAATAAACGTTTCCCGAAACCGTAGCCAAACCGGCTGCATGTACAATCGCTACAAGATATCGCGTAAGCTCAGGAAGGGAAACGAGTGCCACAATAGGCAAGAGGCTAAGGCGAGAGCGGATAGCAGGCAGCGGGCTTATCTCTCCTAGGCCAAGACCACGTTGACAGTGCATCCGCCCACGGCCCGCTCACGGCCCTGGGTAAGACTCAATCCGGCTGAGTGGGTGCGGAGCCAAATGTCGAGGTATCTCTCCGAGTGGAAATGGGTGGCATTGGGGGCCTTAGACAACCACCAGCCCCTTGTACAATGGCAACGACCTTGGAAGGGTGTCCGAAATGGATTCAACCGCCCACGATGAGTTAGAGGAACTTGGAAGAGGCGGTCGAGAACTCGGTTGCGATAGCCGGCCAAGAAGCCACTATTCCCGTTCTCAGTCTCAAGTCCGAAGCTCTGCTTGTTTAGCGACGCTGCTTACGCGGGAGGCCATCTCAATCACACGATCAGAAGAAGGGGTCCAAGCGGGTTGCCATTGATGGATCAACCGCCGCTGAACGAAGATCTTGCTTTTCGGAACATGTTCGCACTAATTCGGGCCATCACATCCGCAGGGAGATCTTTCGGTGAGTCGATTAAGTCAATTACCATTGGGCATACCGTCTGGCAGTCCCTCACGCTATTTGTGGTATCCAAAAAAACATTGTGTCATACAACTCGTTGCAAGCGCAGACTTCCGAGCCAAAATTCCGCTAGTGACAAAGAAGAAATAACCAAGGAAAATCAGAACGGGGAACCACTTCGTCCCGTTCTCCCTGTCTTTGAGCTGCCCGCTTCCAGCTCGCGCATGTGAACCAAGCTCGTCTCGTCGTGATAGTCGACAGTGTACTCCTTGGTGTACATGATGCCATTCGGGCTGCTTGAGAGCCCCGAGTCACGATCGACGGTCCTGACCTTGGCATCGTTGCCCAGTGTCCTGTTCCTGCTGCGACCGTTGCCACTCGATTGAATGTAGTACTTGGCTGCTGCGGATGTGCCGCGCCGTGTCGTGCCCAGCAATTTGGGGAAGAAGCCGACGAGGATGACGCGTATTGAAGGCATGCAGGCGCAGATGATGCCCACGTTGATCTCGACGGTGGACCAGGTTGCGACTTCGAATTGATCCCAGGTTGGGTTCTGGGACTTCGCGAATGCGACCAAAGACTGCAGGCGCAAGATGCTAACGACAGTGACACTGGGAACCCCCATGTTAGAGAACGTTCTGAGAGGGAAATCGACGCATTTTGGAGACTTACAAGGTGCCGACGAAGAACATCATGGCCACGCCAATCTTCTTCTTCCAATGCAAGTTCAGACCCTTGATCTGAGATAGAGGCAGAGCGAGCATCCAAATGTCCAACACGATACTGATGCCAGCATTGGCCCAGGCGATGGCGTTGATGTCCAAGCATTGTCCGTTGCGGTTTCCGTCCCACTTTGTCCAGTAAAAGCTGATCGGTTGGCATTGAAAAATGGCGACAAAGATGAAGGTGAGGCCGAATACTGCGTTGAAACAGATGGTGCCCCATATGAGCTTCTTGATACTGCTCTGCGAAAAGATGCGCATGTAGAAGAAGAGAAGTGACATCTTGAGCAGCGTCACCTGGCCGAAATACATTGGCTCCATGATAAAAAACCAGTAACCAAAATCGTTGATCTGAGTGAACGAGACTGTCCAAATGTCCTTGCCGAGGCCGTTCGCGGCGAACCCGTGGGTGTTGATGACAGTTCCTGGGATGCCGGAGCCGAGTGTGATGAGAATGAACCAGTCGTCCATGCCGAGGTCGCCCATTGTCGCAAACACTTTGTGTACGAGGCGGATAATGACGAATACGCCAGACAAGCAGCCCATGGTGATAGAGATGGTGTTGTACATCGGCGTGCGGTTTCTCGGTGTCGCGCCACATGTCGTCTGGGTGATGTTCTTGGTTGCTGCGGGAGAGCGAGGGGTTAGATGACAGGTCTTTGGGAGGATTCGCCCATTGGCATCCGAAGGAAGACATGGCCACTCACTAAGAGCATTCCTAAGAGTACAGTTCTGTAGAACACAAGCTTCAACTTCGACCTGCAAAGGAGCATTGGTGCAGATACATGTCTGGTTGGTCGGCGCGCATGGCGAGTTGAGGACCGCCGTTACAAGACATGCTTGCTGTCGTGTAGTTAGTATCTAGAGCACGAGCAAATTCATGGTCTTCAATTTGTAACCTACTGCGCATCTTGGTAGCGATGCTACAGCTGAAGCAGGATCGCCTTGGGCCGCGGCGCAATGGAGCACCGCAGCCATGGACAGGAACAGAGAGATGAACCTCATATTTGGGTATGTCCAGGTGAGAGATGAGGAAGAACCCCCCCTCTTTCGAAAAGGGCCGGGAGAAGAAAACAGGGTCGTCGTACAAGCTAGATATGTATCACCTCGAACATGACGTGAGCATCATATTCGAATAGTCGTAGGTCGTGACGGAGGCGTCAAAGGTTTTCCCAACACGAGGTGAAAGGGGTGGGAAGATGGGCGGACGGGAGGGATTAAGGTTGTCGTGAAACGCCTTCTACACCCTCCGTCTTAGTCAACAAGCAGAAGACAGAAGAGGCCACTTTGGGGGAGCTCCTCGGGATGGGTTGCGTGGTTCCTACGTAGCGACATGCCAACGCGGAGATGATGCTCGATGCAGCAAAGGGAGCTTCTTCTGCGGTGCGGCGGTTCCACTTGGGGTCAACGCCACACAAGACCAGTGTGCCGGTAGCGTGCGGTCTAGTTTCGACACACGGTGGTCGCCGTTACACTTCAAGGTGGCATCACGGCTGTTGAACTGTTTTAGCAAACGGCGCGCCCCTTTCCCCATCGTTTCTACGCACTATGCAAGTCTCAGTGGTGGTGGCGGCGGCGGAGACCGGACGACGGCATGGGCTCTGGTACATCTAACCGAGGGCGACGTTTGGAGGGAACTCGGCCATGGGCTGGAATACCGGACTGGACAAACATACTGCGTAGGACCCTGGTGCCCAGCTCCGGCTATGGGATAATGCCCAGGGTTCATCCAGGATGGCAGCTGTATATGGCAGGCGAGGGCTGGCCTGCGCAGAGAGAGAAAGCGAGAAATGTGATACACTGACATGCAGGAGGCTCCCCGTCAACGTGGCATGGCAGCGGACCGAGGCCACGACTGGTCTGGAGCGCCGCACATGTCGGGTAGGGGACCGGACTTGCAGACTTGCAGTGAATAGTGATCGAGGGGCACAACCCATGGAGAGACTTGGATGAGTATGCGGATGGAGGCCCGTCATCTGTGCCACACAAATCCACCCATATCCGTACATGCATATCTTCAGGGAGGGAAAAGAAACCCCAGGAAGGGGGGCCCAGACACAGTCGCCGAACCAAGGCGAGCAAGGGTCGGGGAGCATCGTGAGCGCAAGGATCAACACCCGGGGGGCCCAGCGAGCGAAAAATCTCCTCGAACCTCTTGCCCTGGAAGAGGGGCCTGCTCTCGTGCTTTGTGCAGAGGAGAGCCCAGATCACAGATGCGGTGGCAGGGGCCAGCATCCCACCGGGATTGAGATGCCATGCCTGGATACCTCCTCGCGATGCCACTGCGGAACCATGGTAGCGTAGCTCGATCCAAATGAACAAACAATGGAAAGAATTCGAACATTTTTTTCTTCTCGGTGGGCAATCGCCGACGGCACAGCAAAAGCTTGTGCGACAATCGGGGGCTGGCCGAGGCTGGCGCGGCAATGCAAAGCTGAGGCGAAGCTGATTGTTCCCGAGGAACGGTAATAGCAACTTGTAAGTTGTGGTGTGCTGGTGCAACCAGCTTTGACACACACACAGAAGCACATCAAGATGCCGAAATAACCAGGAGGAAATGCCCGAAGAAGAGCCAGAGTTTCGGTGTGGCAGGTTCAGTAACCGCATCGAAGGAACCTCTTTTCTTTCTGGAAGACCGCCCCCCGTGCCCCCAGACGGACACGCAAGGCACGTAACAGGCTCATCACACACACACAGACGAAGGGGGGCGTGTATCCCTTTTTTTACCCCTTGGGACGTTAGGCCGGGCAGAGATGGCGTCGCAGTTGGCCGGTGCTATCCCTATCCTGGTGGCACATCCGGCACGCTGTGTGTGTGGAGTAATTAGTTGAAAATGGGGACGGTTAGAGGGTCTGAGCCGGCACGACACGCCATTGGTGGCCAATGTTCGATCAAAGTTGGGACGGGGAAGAGAAAACTGAGATGTGGTCGATGTGCGATGCGAGTATTTGGTCTGATTGCCGATATTATGACTCGAGAAGAGGCAAAATATGGACTCTACCACCTGTTCACTTGAGTCTGCATCCGTATGTGTATGGTTTGTCCGCGTGGGTTGGCTCAGCTCGGGTGTTACAACTCGCTTGATGTCGCTTCACATGCAGGCTGCAGCAGCGGATCGTGGGCAATCTCCATTGCTCATATATTGGCAACCGGCCGAATCCTTCGGCTCTCTGCCCTGTACTCGGCTTAATGACCGGATTTTGTCGGATTATTCGCGGACTGGCCCAGGACTCCAGGGGAAGGTCAATTCATCCATAGGCGGATCTCGACCTTTCTCTGGAAGACCAAGGGGGTCTATTGGAAGGGTTTCCGATGCTACCCAGCAGAGCAAATGTGGCCTGAGAACCCAATACTTTTGTCTCCTTTCTGCCCCAGCTTTGGGGGGTTCGTAAGGGTTCCTCGGTGATAGATTAAATGTTTCTGACCTGTTGTCCGGGGTTCATCGTATCTCGCCGGATGCACCATGAAGGATCGGGGCTTTGTTTGAAAGGGTTTGAACTCTGTGGAGAACGAGTGGAGGCAAAAAGCCTGAAAGTAAGAAGAGCGGCCAAGTTTTGCTTTTCCACCGTGCGTTGTTGGCTTCGTCGTCTACCCGCAAGTTGTGTGACGGACTTCAGCATTCTGCAGATATTCTGCGTACTGATCGTAACGGCAACGCGCGTTGGGCACTGACGAAAGGCGTTGAACCGCCGAGGGCAGAAAAACAAAGAATAAGAGCGGACTAGGAGAGAGCTAACCTCGGGTCAAGTGGCGGTTGCGAGATGAAGAGACGAAAGAGGCGCAACACTAGCTACTCGTGTTCCCATCTTCTGGTCTTGTTCTAGCGGAAGCCATCGGACACCACCGCGGCACCGTCGCATGCGCCGCCGAACCATTGACGGCAATTCAGCAGCCCGTTAACCGTCTCTCCCCGGAGCGCCGCCGGGTGCTGTGGAGTTTCTGACTCTGCTCTACTACGTAGCCTTCACCTTGCGGATGTTCTTCGGTTCCTGTGGTTTTTTTTTCTGTCTTGTGCCAGGCTTTCAGCTGCGGCCTACCCCCCTCGTATGAGACGGCGGACACTACGATGGGGCACTTCTGATGCCATGTTCCTTGTCGCAATCATGCCGGGACCGGGATTCCGGTGGCCGGCCGTCTGTGAGTAATGGCAGAGTACGGGGGGATGAGGTGTTTTGCGGCTTGCTTGCCGCTTGCCTATGCCTTGGAAGAGCCCCCCCGACCCTAGGGCAAAGCCACGCAGCGGGTAACCTGGTTTCCGTGTGGTGATATTGGGGGCCGCGAGATTGGTGCCCATGATGAGCCATTAGTTTCCGGCGATTGGGTTGGAATGCGGGAATCATTTCATCTTGTTTAGATTTTAGAACACATCGGAAAATTATCACTGTGGATGACGAGATTGTGCTAAGATCAAATGTCTCAATTCAGGCATTTGTATGGCCTCGGACACGGGCCGGAACCCTCTCCTCCAAATAAGAGCCAACAACCAAGTGTCATGCGCTTTTCGCATCTGTCCTGCAGGCAACCTGCCGGCTCTTAGGGCTCTAGTCTGACTTCGAAAAGCAGAGTCAGCCAACGTGATTCGCCAATGCCCAAGTCCACAGCCCCCTCGAGTTTCGCGGGAAGATCGATGTTGTGCGAGAGGCGACTGGTTCATGCGAGCACGGGCTGACCTTGGCCACTGTCCCCAATTTTCTGCCCAGTTCAGGCTTACACGTGGAACCCGCTCCACGGTTTCTTTGCCCCTGCCTGTGTGCCTGCGTTGCTTACTGTGGTTTTGTCAGACTTGAGTGGTAGGCTGATGGCGTGTCAGACATTAACGAATGGCCCTGTTTTTTCTTTCTCCTGATTCCATTTTTGCTCCTGTTTGTCTAACATTCAGTCTTGCCTGTTGAATCCTGTCAGTGGAGGGAGCAGAGACAGGCGTCGGAGCAACGCGAAGATCCAAGGGCCCGAAAACCCGGTTCGGTGCTCGGTGTTGACTGAAGTACACTACTAGCCCTGCTACATGTCTGGTCTGCCAGAGAGCGGCGTAGAATGGCCATGTGGTTTTAGCAAACAATCTTGGCTGCAGCATGCAATCTGATTTTCGCAAACATGCATACCTTGATCATGTAGTAGGAAAGTTTTCCTGCGTTGTTGGTCCGACCAAACTCTCACAAGTTCATGGCTGGCAATCCCTGGAGTTCTTTCCTCTCTCTTTTTTCTCTCGTCCTTCCTATTTAGAACGGCAGAGTTCGCTCCCGAACCGGGATTTGCACAGAGTTCAGACGAACGGAAATGGCTTCCTCTTCTATCTTGCTGCGACACTGGTGGGGGGAGGCATTAGGTTTTGACAGCTATACTGGCATGTCGGTATTCTCTGCGACAACATGGTCTATTGCATTTGACACGCCGGCAACTTCGCCCATGTCTTCCGAGTTCCAGCAACACATGACTGACTGCATAATTACTAGCCACATTTTGTTTGAGGAAACATTTCTGAACAATAGTTTGCAAGCCTCAACTGGCAGCCGTTGGTACCGACAGACGCCAAAATATCCGAGGGCATCGGATTGATCATTGTTGTCTTGCCAATACAGCACTCGAGACTTAGGTGACATCGCGCTAGAAAAAACGAACAATAGAGTTCAAAAGCTTGGCAAGGGTCACGATCAACAATCAAACCACTCGCTCGGTACGCAAACTTTCCTTTTCAGGAAAGGTATCCGCGTTTGCGGCCAAAAACTGACTTCACCCCTTGCAATGATTGCAATATTGCTGTGCCGCTGCCCGCAACCACATACCCAGCGAACCCAGGAGTCTGCTTCCAATGTCCGAGTCCGAGTCTTTCCAAGAATTCAACCCACCGGAGTTGATCTCGGAGGTGACTCCGGCGTCCTTCATCCCCGTGCATGTATCGTGACCGCTGAAGAAACATTCGTGATGGATTGGCCCACTGCTCAGAGTGGCCTGCAGCGTCAACCTTACGATCTCGAGGGGTTCTTGCCGGATGTCAGGTTAATCTGGTATTGGGGACGAGGTTCACTTCTGGTGTTTGCGGAGCTCCTCCAACTACGCCGCTTATAGATCATCATCACCACAAATGCCAAGCTGCCAACTGCCGA